GAAGCTGAGGGGCGGCACACCCCGCAAAGAGACGGGGGGCCACCGCATCAGTGGCGGAGGCAACGGTGAGGAGGCTGCTCTCGATGGTCCCGAGAGCAGACTGAAGGAGGTCGATAGTGAGTTCAGTGGGGTGCTTCTGAAGAAGCGCGTCGCGGGCAGTGGCAAGGCGGTCAGGGAGGCGGGTGACTAACCAGTGCACAGTGAGCCACATGGGGGGGGGAGCAACAAGGAGCTGTGCGTCGGTACAGGCCGAACGAAAACCGGCGTCAAGCGAGCGGAGGTGAGTCACTAGGTCGGAAACAGTCGCAAACGAGCCTAGGTCGGGAAACACGAACGGCATGAGGAGGCGACTGAGGGAGGCGGAGGAGGGGGTGGAATAGCGAGCCACAATAGCATCCCAAACCCCCTTGGCTGTCTCCACCTGGTCAAAGTGAGCGGCCTCAGTCGGGGGGAGAAGCTCCGATAGCGTGAGGGCGGCGGCCGCGTCACGAGAGAGCCACACGTCCCGAGCCAGGACCTGACGGTCGTAGTCCGCCTGGGCCGTAGGAGTCGGCTCCGGGGCGGTCGGCAGGGCGGCGGGGGACGGGGGTGCCGCGAGAGCACCCGACGCGTGGGCCCACATAGTGGCGCCGTCCTGACGCTGGCTGGTGAGGAAACGTGTGGTCTGGGGCTGCCAGGTACCGAACTCGATCGGGCGTCCCTCGGCATCAAAACGGAGGCGACGGGCCTCCATAGCGGAGCCCATGCTAGAGGCGACTGGAGCACGGCGGAGGCGGAGCTAAGAACGAGGAGGAAAACTACGGAGGGCTAGGGACGCCAGCGGGGAAACCGACGAGAGACAGTCGGCGAGAAAATAGTCGTGGGGCGGGGCTCTAACCGAACCTAGGTGGCGCTACCGGAGGGAAGAGCGGCTGCCAGCCGCTGAGCCGGGAGCCAAGTGCAGTAGGAATGGCGTGGGACCGGTGCACAGGTGAAGGGGAGAGAGATGCAGTAAGCGCACTGAGTGATGCGGTAAATGTACGCAGGTGTGCGGTAAGCGCACGCAGGTGTGCGGTAAGTGTACGCAGGTGTGCGGTAAGCGCACACAGGTGTGCGGTGAGTGCACGCAGGTGTGTGGTAATTGCACGCAGGTGTGCGGGAAGCGCACGCAGGTGTGCGCGCACACAGAGTGATGCGGTAAGTGCACGCATGTGTGCGGTAAGCGCACGCAGGTGTGCGGTAAGTGCACGCAGGTGTGCAGTAAGCGCACGCTGGTGTGCGGGAAGCGTTGACGGAGGAGGGCGCGCGACAGGCGGAGGGGAGGGCACGCGACGGTCTAAGGACGGCGCGCGACGGTTGAGGAGGGCGCGTGACGGTTGAGGAGGGCGCGCGGCGGTCTAAGGAGGGCGCACGACGGTTTTGGAGGGCGCGCAACGGTGGGGGAGGGCGCGCGGAGGTCTAAGGAGGGAGCGCGACAGGCTGGACAGCGCGGGAGGGCGCGGGCTAGGCGCGAGGAGGGCGCGGAGGGCGCGGAGCGCGCGACGGTTGAGGAGGGCGCGATAGCACGGAGGGCGCGTAGGGCGCGGAGGCTAGCTAAAAACGAACGAGGATCTAACCTACTCGTGATACCATCTTAGAATAGGAATGCAACGGAATGAGCGAAACTAGAAAGTGTGAGAGTACAAATGTGCAACCCTAACAACTGTACTCCCTATTGTGCAAAACACTGTAGCCTACAAGCATAGAATTACATTTGACAATGGGCCCACACAGTCCCGGGTGTCTACCATCCAGGATGTGACATTGGATGTTAATGTAACCATATACAGCATGTCATGCGTGTTGCTGTTGACAGCCCTTCAAGTACCCTAGTATCGGGGCTGGAATAACAGAAGGAGATATCCCAACTGTGGATCTGATATGGAAAGATGTATCAGTACCGTTACTACTTTAGTGAAGGACATGAGCCAGTACAAGCTCAGCAACTGGTGATCTGATGCCCGATCACACAGGGTTGATGTGCGTGACTGATTTGTGCATACTTTGAGGTAATTCACAGCCTTTTACGGTACATCACAGAATCATACAAGATGGTACAGGAACAGCATGCACCGAGAGACATGACCCAGAAGCATAAGGCACACATTCAGGAAACAACAACCTTGGCCTTCATCTTACGGGCGCAGTGATTGCCCACTGCACACCCAAAATAGAGGGTGGTTCCCTTCTGAATATCCTTCACAGGGTAAAAGTAGTGGGCTCCAAAAATGCCAGTTTTGGGGTACAGCTGAGTCGCAAGGGTGAAGTCGCAATTGTCGTACGCGATTTTGGCGGGAAATTTCCACACGTCATGCTCACCCAACCACTTGAACACTGCACACATCCCAAGAAGATACCGGTAATAAGAGCTCGGAGGTATAAGCAAAACAGTTCTACACCCAATTACAGAAATGATTTGTACACCTGTAGTGTTTGAACAAAGCATGGAAAATCTGGAGGACACATACACAAAGTCAGTCACTTACAAAGCTGGTCGCCTGGTTGCACTGTCCTAAAAGGCTTCCATCCAGAAATTCCATACCGCCAAGGAGTAAAAATACCATAGCCCACTATGATGGTCTTTGCCTGGTAAGGAGATTGCAAGGGTGAGAGGGGAAGGTTGGGAGCACATAGTATGAGGATATGGTGTTCTTTCTGAAAGGTGCACATGGATAATTTATTTGCCAAAACGAACGATTGCAGCAAGTTTTAAGGAGACCAGAAACGAATTTCAGGCGATGATGGCTGAAGGGTGGCCGGGGTGTAGTACCTCAGCCAATGCCGCGCCTGCAAACATCAACAGGTCAATGGGGGAGCAGGATAGAGGTATGCTTAGGACCGGACGACTATGGAAGAGACGCTGTATGATTTATGAAACAACGTCACGTTAATTTTCGCATTTGCAGCCAAACGAAGGCAAACTTATCGTGTTAGCTTACTTGAAAGTAACACGGCGAGCAGAACCCATCCAGCAGCGATAGTATTCGGAGACCTGCCGGGAGACACCTTCATCGCCATGTCACCGTGAGTGAAAATATATGCGCTAAAACGGCAGGTACTACCAGCTGAATGCGGGTAAATCTCAACTGCCAAGAAACGCAGAAAACAACTAATGTGCGGGGACTGATTTCAGCGCGGCGACCAGCTGAAATGATTGTGAAAGAGACGCGAAGTTTGATATATACTACGATGAGTACTAGGTGCTTTCTGGCGCGATGTTTTCTTTCTTGCGCGGCGCCATATCGAGTGAGATGATGTGTCCACCACGGTGTGGCCCGCGTTAAGAGCAACAGGAGAGGCCACCGAGACCTTCCCGACCGACCTGAGTGGTTCAGTCATCCAGGCGCGCTGCAAGGGGCTGCCTCAACTTGAGTGAAGTTAGTTGTAGGTCGGTATAGGCGTTGGTAGGAGGCTGTACTATTGTCGGTGCTAGGTGTGTCAACGTCGGCTTGGGATGAGATGAAATGAGATTGGCAGGGACGAGGACGTGTTCGAATGGTTCACTTTATTACGGTGGGATACGATTTTGTGCGTGTCAAAACGGCTCTTTCCTACATCGCTGCGTTTAGGTAGGGTTTCGAGCAGAAACAAATACTTGCACCACGCCCTTGCTGTAAATGCAGATTGGTGCGGTATTGTGTGATGGGGTGGGGTGTGTGGGTGGCGCTGTAGTGGCTGCAGGCTGCAAAATGCACATTTTGGATTTTGGTGCAAAGGCGAGAGATGCGCGGCTCGCTGTGAGTTGACGTGGCGCATATTTGCATATGACACTTGGGCGAACAAGCGCATACGCTTTACCAGCTGTATCAGCGTTCTATCTATTGTGTCGCAATAAGGAAGTGTGATCACACTGTGGAAAAGTAATAAACATATACTGCGTCAAAATGGCACCAGGGTGAAAACGTTTTTACACGCACAATGAACCAATCGCGTGGTGCAGCTTTTGGAGTAGGCACGTGCCTTCGGACCCACATTCATTGTCACAATATTAGAACGAAGGGGAGGTGACTCAAAAGGAATGTTGCGCGAGCTCCCACAAACGAGGGAAGCGACCACATTCGCCTGGCGACGGACTGCACGGCCAATAACAAATGAGCAGAGATTTGTAAGGTTGTGCTCCGCGACGCTGTGCGACGTCGCATCGTATGCCCTCCACGACTTCCTTTCCTGAAGTCGTGCGAGCCAGCAAGCGTAGACAGCAAGCGGGTGCCCCCTGGGATCAAACGTGAGGGATGCTGGGCAGTTGGAATCACCTGGTCTTGTCGTGAAACTATTAGAACCACTCTGTAACGCTAAGTAACGCGCGAGACACCACTTCACAGCGTTCTGAAGGTTCTGGAGAGACCAAGGGCCCTGCAGGCCGCGAAAAAGGACCTTTTCCAGGGCTGTTTCGATATGGGTGTTATACGTGAGTGAGATGCAGGACGGTTTATATGTTTCACAGAAATTGCAAACCCACCACTCAACACACCCACCCACCATTCCACCACCACCAGCACTGGACTGTATTGTGTGACTCCTCACTCGTCGTGTCATTTCACCATGAAAGCCATTCCATATGCATTGCTTTCCCAGACCGACTTACTTAGCTCTGCATTGCTGCCGTCTGATACGAGAATAACACGAATAGCACACACGGCCGACTCGTTTCCTCACTGATCGAACCCAAAGCCATTCTGTTCCTCTGCTCATGCCGCGTAGAATATTTTATGCAATACCGTCAAGGTCACCGTAGACTGGGAGTGGGTCGAAGATTCCTGCTATTAGTGTTACGCCCGTTCAACTCCGACTGAAACTGGAGGTCCTCTGTCAGTTCTCATAACACCAGGCCTTTCTGTTTTTTTCCTTTCCAACATTGGAAGTCATTATTGTAGCCTTGGCACTGTAGCGGTGAGACGTGGGGTTATACTCTTCTTCAATCAATATCTCAGACCGTCTTTAGCCCGTCATTCGCGTTCTCGCAGTCGCGTGACCTTCGTGCGATGACATCGTCCATGTCGCTCACCGATATCGCAGCCTTCGCAGCGTCGTCGCTCGTCGAGTTCGCAGAAGTCATCGTCATCGCCGTCGCCACGTCAGTCCCCGTCGCCGGCCTCTGTATAGGCGTCCCCGTTGTCCGAATAATCACCGCGTGCCTGCGCGGGCAGCGTACGCGTTTTAAGTACATCCGCTGGTGGCTAACCTGCGCCGTGTCGCTCCTGCTGCTCGTGAATCTCCTCTTCCTGTCGGTCGGAATCGGCGCGCTTTGGCTGCAGATGCCGCCTGATCCGGCCGCCATGTCGAAGGGCACGTGCCGCGTCGTTTCCGCAGGTGAGGGAAAAAACAAAAAAAGCCTGGTTCGCTAAACCTGAAAGTCGTTCTTTTCTTTCCATTTCCTCTCCTCTCCCCGCTCCACCTCCCACATACACCCCCACTCTCCCCCCCCCCCTCCTCCCCCTCCCCCCTCCCCCCCAATCACCTCTCGCCATTTTTCCGCTTTCGCCATTTCCTGAATTCGCTATCACTCGATGCCATTTTCGAACTTCGCCATGACCAGATTTCTCTGTTTTCCTTTGCCATTCCTGGTTTCGCCAGGCGTGGACCTGCGATCCGTCAAGCTGTGCACTGTCAACGACACCTCCTCCTCCTCGTCGCCCACCTGGTTACCATCTTCACCACACACGTGGCAAGCCCCTTCGCAAGCCTCGCCCAACCCCGCCTCTCGTCCGTTCGCCTCCTCCTCCCCTTACGCCACCCCTTCCCCTCCTTCCGCCTCCCCCAACCACCACTCGTCCGCCCACTCCTCCCCACCCTCCTGTCACTCCTCCTCCTCCCCCTTTTCATGCCCCTCCGCCTCCGCTTCGGCTTCCCCCCACGCCTCCCCTTCCCCCTCCGCCTCCGCCTCTTCTCCCGCCAACCCCCCCTCCGCCCTCGCGTCCCTCTCCGCGTCGCTCCTCGCGCTCCTCCCGCAACCGCTGCTCTCCGCGCTGCCGCTCTCCCCCTCCGCCACGCGCTGCCACTTCACCTACTACTGGGCGGCGCTGATTCAGCTCGACCTCAACGTCTCCTTCCACTCGCCGTCCAACACGTGGCGCTCGCTGCGTCAGCAGAGGAGGCTGAAAAGTCAACGCGGTCAACGCAGTCAAGCGAGTCAACGCGTTAAAGCGGAGCAAGGGGAGGGATGGGAGGAAGGGGATCAGCAGGGGAGCATCACGACGATTCGAACCACCACGGCTCTCCCCGACCCGCTGTCCCTGTCGCTGCCGTCGTCCCAGTGCCGCCCGGATTTCAATGCCGCTTGGCGGGCAAAAGACAAGTACAAGGTGCGCCCCTCCTGCTCTCCACTGCCTTTCCTCCCTGCTGCCGTTCCCTGACCCGCTGTCCCTTTCACTGCCATCGTCCCAGTGCCGCCCGAACTTCAATGCCGCGTGGCGGGCCAAAGACAAATACAAGGTGCGCCTCTCCCGCTGCCATTATCCTTGCTTCTGCTGCCACAAAGGTGACTTTTGAGGTGACCAAAAAGCCGCCCTGACTTCAATGCAGCATGGCGCGCCAAAGACAAGTACAAGGTGCGCCCCTCCCGCTGCCACTCTCTCTGCTGCTGCCATTCTCCCTGCCTGTACGACCGGCTCCAACCGCACCCTGCCCCTTCTCCTCATCCCCCACCCTCCTCTTGCCCTTCGTCCCCTGTCTCGTCCTTCCCTTCCCCCCAAACCCCCTTATTCCCTCCCCCATCCCCAGGTGGCATCGCTGCACAAGTGCCTCTACAACCCGCGCCACCCCCACAGGGTGCACCTGCTTCCTCTTCTCAATCCCATTCCCCTTTTTCCTCCCCACACCCCCCCAACCCCCGTCACCCTCCCTCCCACCCCTCCAGGTGGCATCGCTGCACAAGTGCCTCTACGACCCGCGCCACCCCCACAGGGCGCACCTGCCTCTTCTCCTCACCCCCCATCCCCCTCGTGCCCTGCTTCCCTTGTCCCCACTCCCCCCATCCCTCCCCCCATCCCCAGGTGGCCTCGCTGCACAAGTGCCTTTACGACCCGCGCCACCCCCACAGGGTGCACCTACCCCCGCCGCGCTCCATGCGCCAGTGCCCGCCTCCCCCTCGCCAGGGCATATTCATGCATCTCGCAGCTACCGCCATCACCAAGTGGTGAGTGCTTAGGGTTTTCAAGGGTCTGCCCCCATCACCACATACGACCCCCACAGGGTCTGCCCCCATCACCACATACGACCCCCACAGGGTCTGCCCCCATCACCACATACGACCCCCACAGGGTCTGCCCCCATCACCACATACGACCCCCACAGGGTCTGCCCCCATCACCACATACGACCCCCACAGGGTGCTCCTACCCTCTCCGCGCTTCATGCGCCAGTGCCCGCCCCCCCAGCGCCAGGGCATTTTTATGCATCTCGCTGCTGCCGCCATCACCAAGTGGTGAGTGCTGAGCCTGGAATTTGTTGTTACAATGGGGTCTGCAGGGGTTTGAGGGGTTCGAAGGGTTTGTAAGGCACCAGAATCTCTTAACACTCCCCGCTCCCCACTCCCCAGTCCCCGGTCCCAACTCCCCACGCTATGGGTCTCAGCCATTTCCTCCCATAACCCCCCAACATCCCTTTTCCCCCTTCCCCTCATTTCACCCCGCCTTTTCCGTCCCTTCATCATCATCAGTGGGCAAGCAAGCTCTATCCGGGCCTCAGCCTGGGCGTGCTGCTGGGAGTGCTGTGCTGCGCTGTGCTGTGCGGTGCTGTGCTGTGCTGCGCTGTGCTGCGCTGTGCTGTGCGGTGCTGTGCTGTGCTGCGCTGTGCTGCGCTGTGCTGTGCGGTGCTGTGCTGTGCTGTGCCTGGGGTTCTGGGCCTCATAACACCAACCAACGTTCAAACCCCCCACTCTCCCTTGTCCCCGTACGCCCCCACATCCCACGCCCCCACATCCCACACCACCACGCCCCCACACCCCCACGCCCCCACATCCCACACCACCACACCCCCACGCCCCCACATCCCACACCACCACGCCCCCACACCCCCTCGCCCCCACACCCTCACACCCTCACGCCCCCACACCCTCACGCCCCCACATCAGGTTCTTTTCAGACGAGTCAATATTCCAGCCCTCGTCTTCGGTGGGCAAGCTCTATCTGGGCCTCAGCCTGGGCGTGCTGCTGGGAGTGGTTTGTTGTACCCCACATGTAACCCGGTTCCCGCTCCTCATGTCCCTATCCCACTCGCCCCTCCACCCATCTCCCCAGGTTCTTTTCAGACGAGTCCATATTCCAGCCGTCATCCTCAGTGGGCAAGCTCTATCTGGGGCTCAGCCTGGGCGTGCTGCTGGGAGTGGTTTGTTGTACCCCACATGTAACCCGGTTCCCGCTCCTCATGTCCCTATCCCACTCGCCCCTCCACCCATCTCCCCAGGTTCTTTTCAGACGAGTCCATATTCCAGCCCTCGTCTTCGGTGGGCAAGCTCTATCTGGGCCTCAGCCTGGGCGTGCTGCTGGGAGTGGTTTGTTGTACCCCACATGTAACCCGGTTCCCGCTCCTCATGTCCCTATCCCACTCGCCCCTCCACCCATCTCCCCAGGTTCTTTTCAGACGAGTCCATATTCCAGCCCTCGTCTTCGGTGGGCAAGCTCTATCTGGGCCTCAGCCTGGGCGTGCTGCTGGGAGTGGTTTGTTGTACCCCACATGTAACCCGGTTCCCGCTCCTCATGTCCCTATCCCACTCGCCCCTCCACCCATCTCCCCAGGTTCTTTTCAGACGAGTCCATATTCCAGCCCTCGTCTTCGGTGGGCAAGCTCTATCTGGGCCTCAGCCTGGGCGTGCTGCTGGGAGTGGTTTGTTGTACCCCACATGTAACCCGGTTCCCGCTCCTCATGTCCCTATCCCACTCGCCCCTCCACCCATCTCCCCAGGTTCTTTTCAGACGAGTCCATATTCCAGCCCTCGTCTTCGGTGGGCAAGCTCTATCTGGGCCTCAGCCTGGGCGTGCTGCTGGGAGTGGTTTGTTGTACCCCACATGTAACCCGGTTCCCGCTCCTCATGTCCCTATCCCACTCGCCCCTCCACCCATCTCCCCAGGTTCTTTTCAGACGAGTCCATATTCCAGCCGTCATCCTCAGTGGGCAAGCTCTATCTGGGGCTCAGCCTGGGCGTGCTGCTGGGAGTGGTTTGTTGTACCCCACATGTAACCCGGTTCCCGCTCCTCATGTCCCTATCCCACTCGCCCCTCCACCCATCTCCCCAGGTTCTTTTCAGACGAGTCCATATTCCAGCCGTCCTCCTCAGTGGGCAAGCTCTATCAGGGCCTCAGCCCTTCACGGGCCCTCCCTACTATGCCCAGACCCCTCATTCTCTCTCATGCGCCCATCCCCTGCCCCTGACTCGGCCTCAGCCTGGGCGTGCTGCTGGGAGTGCTGTGCTGCGCTGAGTTGTGCTGTGCCTGGGGTTCTGGGCCAACCTCCTATTCTCCCTTGTCCGTGCCTCCTCCCTCCAGGTTCTTTTCAGACGAGTCCATATTCCAGCCGTCCTCCTCGGTGGGCAAGCTCTATCTCGGCCTCAGCCTGGGCGTGTTGCTGGGCGTGCTGTGCTGTGTGGGCACGCATGTCTTTGGTCGCATCGTCGTCGCTCTCGACTGCTTCCAACCACCCGCCTCCTCCCTCTTCGTCTCTGCTATCGAGGTGAGCTGCCTGCTGTTTGCCCCTCTGCTCTTGCCCCCTTCCGCGTGCTGCTGCGCGTGCTGCTGGGAGGGCTCTGCTGTGTGGGCATGCACCTCTTTGGTCGCATCGTCGTGGCTCTCGACTGCTTCCAACCGCCGGCTTCCTCCCTCTTCGTCTCCGCCATCGAGGAGAGCTGCCTGCTGAAGCATCATGGCCTGTTCCTGCCAGGTGTGCACCTGCTGTTCTCCCGCTGCGCGTGCTGCTGGGAGGGCTCTGCTGTGTGGGCACGCATCTCTTTGGTCGCATCGTCGTGGCTCTCGACTGCTTCCAAGTGCCACGAAGACGAAGAGGGAGGAGGCTTCCAAGTGCCCGCCTCCTCCCTCTTCGTCTCCGCCATCGAGGAGAGCTGCCTGTTAAAGGCCGTTTGCTGCGTGTGCACCTGCCCGTTCTCCCCTCTGCTCGTGCTGCTGGGAATGCTGTGCTGTGTGGGCACGCACGTTTTTGGTTGCATCGTTGTCTGCCAACCTCCCGCCTCCTCCCATTGTAACGAGGTGACTTTTGAGTCGACTCAAAAGTCACATCGTTGTCTGCCAACCTCCCGCCTCCTCCCTCTTCGTCTCTGCCATCGAGGTGACCGTCTCTCCAACCCTGGTTTTATAGAAACACTTTCGAGCGCTCGGCGCCAAGTGTCACGCATGCATGCACGCATGTGTCACCCATCCCCTCACACACTCATACTCGTGCCATGCATCCCTTCACACACACATGCTCACGCCATCGATCCCCCTCGTTTGCCCCCTTGCCCAGGTGAGCCGTGGACTGCGCATCACTCTGGTCGGTAGGTACCACTCTGCAATAAGAGAGGAGGGTAGAGAAAGTCGGAGAGACAGAGGGAGCAGCACCAGCAGCACCAGAAGCAGCAGTGGCAGCAGGGACAGGGACACAGATAGGGATAGCAGCAGCACCGCCAGCAACAGCGCGAGCAGCAGCGGCAGCGGCACCCTACACACGCACGGATCCCTGACCCGGTCACTCGAGAAAATCCTCGGATTCCGTGGCCCTTCCACTGCTTTATCCGTCACAGACACTCAGATTTTCTCAAACCATTCTCCAGACATTCACCACCTGCCCAACTTGCTCCATTCAGCGGGATCAGAGTCGGGGTCTCTCTCTGATGAGCTGGAGGGTCTCGATCTCTCTGAGAGCATTCTCAGCTGCTTCTGCCCGTCTCTAGTGGACAGCCCTTTCCTGGCGAAGAAGCACCCTGAGAATTCACCTGAGAGGTCACCTGATAACTATCGCAAGGCGGATGTGTGCCGTTTGAGTTGCCTGGGCCGGCCTATAGCAGCAGGGGCGGAGGATGTTGAGCCGCTTTCCCTGCTCCAGCTGGCGGAGCAGGCAGAGGGGCAGGCACAGGCACAGGCACAGGCTCATGCACAGGCAGAGGCAGAAGCAGAGACAGAAGCGGAGGCAGAGGCAGAAGCAGGGGGACAGGCAAGATCGGAGCATACACAGGGTCTGCCTGTTGATGCTTCACAGTCGCAACTGTTTTTGCACTCAGAAGAGGCTGGCGGGGGGCTGGTTGTGCCTCAAGAGCAGCCGGCGGGGTATCAACAAGGAGGTTTTTTCAGCCCAGCTGTGTGCTGTGAGGTGTCCGGGGTGGAGGGTGATGGGGATGGTGCTGTCATAGCAGCAGCAGGTTCTGCAGCAGGTCTGGGAGTAGGCCCAGCAGCAGGTTTGGCAACAGCTCCGGCACCAGGTTTGGCAGCAGCTCCAGCGGTGGCTCCTCCAGGTTCAGAGGGTTTGGCTCAAAGGGACCAGCAAGCGGCAGCAGTGGCACCACTACCACTCGCGCCTGCAACAGCAGAGCCATCAGCCTCGACATCATTGGTTACATCATCATCAGCATCAGCATCATCGTCCTCAGCAGCCGTGCCAGCACCCTCGGCTCCCTCGTCAGTAGAACCTGTGGCTCCGGGGTTGGCATTGTCGTCGCCACGAGCAGTAGCCGCGTCTGCACAACAACAGCAATGCTCGAAGCCGCTTTCGCCCCGGAGCAGACGATACCCGTCGCCTACTTTCCTCCTCCAGGCGCGTGCGCAAGCTTTGTGTTACATCGCTATTACGTGCGCTGTAGTTGGGCTCCTGGGTATTCTTCACGATACGGGATTAGTGCCGTTTTTAGATCCCTCAGGGTCGCCTGTGTTCTTACAAGGGATTAATTCCCTGCTCCAACAAGGGGGCTTGCCGTATGCCTCTGCAGCAACCTTTGATGTCTCATCTGCTGCTCACCGTTCTTCGGTATACCGAGACCATATGCCTTTTAGGTAAAAACGTATGGACTGGCTTGGTCAACTTGACTAATTTCTCTAAACTAGGATGTATATTATTGTAGTTAATGTCAGATGGTTAGGAGCTTACGTTTAGTACCGTAGTTATATAAAAGGCTGTTGACATTGGGTTACGCCGTTATTGAGTTTCGATGAAGATAGATACTGGTGATTGTCGCGTATCGGACTCACCGTTCTGCAGATGTGAGGTATGGTGGCGACCTCGATGGTTTGAATGACCTGGTTCGGTGGTCCACGCTGAGTCAGCGAAACAGGCTCTCCTCCAAAGCGAAATCCCCACGTGGTCCTGAACCCACCCCACTTTCGGCCCGATTGGTCCGTTTGACAGGATTGAAACCGCGTCATGCTGTCGAGCCTGGCACGCTGCTTGTGAAAATCTTGCCAAGCACGCTTCCGCAACCTTCGCTGAACCACACGGCCAACTTCCTTGTTCGAGACGCTTCTTCCTTGGGGTTTCATCCGTTAGGATAGTAGTTCAGCACAGCAGCATTGTTCAAGCGGGATGAGCAACTCTGGCTATATAATTGTGCTCCAAAGCAGTTTCCCATCATTCTTGAGCGTCAGTTCCTTTCATTTCTCAGCTTGTACCGTTTGCTCATCGTAGCCTTCAGAGAACCTCCTTCCTTGGTTAATACTGCCTGCCACCATGCAAATTTTCGTTAAGACCCTCACCGGCAAGACCATCACCCTTGAGGTCGAGAGCAGCGATACCATCGACAATGTTAAGGCCAAGATCCAGGACAAGGAGGGGATTCCTCCTGACCAGCAGCGTCTGATTTTCGCTGGCAAGCAACTGGAGGATGGCCGTACTCTTGCGGACTACAACATCCAGAAGGAGTCTACGCTCCATCTGGTGCTTCGGCTTCGTGGTGGCATGCAAATCTTCGTCAAGACTCTCACCGGCAAGACCATCACTCTGGAGGTTGAGAGCAGCGATACGATTGACAACGTAAAGGCGAAGATCCAGGATAAGGAGGGGATTCCCCCTGACCAGCAGCGTTTGATTTTCGCGGGTAAGCAGCTGGAGGATGGTCGCACCCTCGCCGACTACAACATCCAGAAGGAGTCTACTCTACATCTAGTGCTTCGTCTTCGCGGAGGCATGCAGATTTTTGTCAAGACATTGACGGGGAAGACGATCACGTTGGAGGTCGAGAGCAGCGACACCATCGACAACGTGAAGGCGAAGATCCAGGATAAGGAGGGGATTCCTCCTGACCAGCAGCGGCTGATTTTTGCCGGCAAGCAGCTCGAGGATGGACGCACCTTGGCCGACTACAACATTCAGAAGGAGTCGACTCTGCATCTGGTGCTCCGTCTTCGCGGAGGCATGCAGATTTTTGTGAAGACGCTGACCGGAAAGACCATCACTCTGGAGGTCGAAAGCAGCGACACCATTGACAACGTGAAGGCAAAGATTCAGGATAAGGAGGGGATTCCGCCTGACCAGCAGCGTCTGATTTTCGCCGGCAAGCAGCTGGAGGACGGTCGTACCTTGGCTGATTACAACATCCAGAAGGAGTCGACCCTCCATCTGGTGCTTCGCCTCCGTGGTGGTATGCAGATTTTCGTCAAGACCCTTACGGGGAAAACCATCACGCTCGAGGTCGAGAGCAGCGACACCATTGACAACGTGAAGGCTAAGATCCAGGACAAGGAGGGGATTCCGCCTGACCAGCAGCGTCTGATTTTCGCCGGCAAGCAGCTGGAGGACGGTCGCACCTTGGCTGATTACAACATCCAGAAGGAGTCGACCCTCCATCTGGTGCTTCGCCTCCGTGGTGGTATGCAGATTTTCGTCAAGACCCTTACGGGGAAAACCATCACGCTCGAGGTCGAGAGCAGCGACACCATTGACAACGTGAAGGCTAAGATCCAGGACAAGGAGGGCATTCCTCCTGACCAGCAGCGTCTGATCTTTGCTGGCAAGCAGCTGGAGGACGGTCGCACCTTGGCTGATTACAACATCCAGAAGGAGTCTACTCTCCATCTGGTGCTTCGCCTCCGTGGTGGTCAGTAGTGTGACCACCAGCTTAAGCTGGGTGGAAGGCAGAGGTGGTTATGCTGCGGAGACTGTCAGTGGGCCTTTTTGTGAATTTCTGTACACAACCTTATATTGCGAAGGCTTACGATTGTATCACTGAGTCTAAGATAATCTTACCGTACCAAGGACTTAGACCTGCGTTCTGTACCGCTTCCAGTTGCAGAGCAAGTGTGCCATGTGTTTTGAGTCAATTCTTTCAGGCAACTTGGACGTTTATTTATCGTTTGACATACGGTAGTAGAACAAGTGTACCACGGAGTAAAAAACGCAGGCCAAATTGTAGATTGGATGCCTGCCAGGCTGCCAGGGACATTCAAAGTAACAATTGAAAATTGTGCCAATTTGGTGGTTCTTGGCCCATGAGTTTTACAGCTCCCTTCCTTATCCTGGACCTTCCACTTCACTCCTCATCATGGTATAACATCTTCAAGTGCAGCTCCACTCTTTCAGGCAAGTAGGCAATGGGTATTTACGGTATGAATCCATGTCCTCAACTCCTACAGTATAAAGTATTACAAAAAGATGCCCGCTCAGTAAGTGCCATATTCCATTATCGTCACGATGCAATGACAGCGCCGGCCTTCTCCCTCTGAGGCTCCACAGCCACAGCATCAGCCACCACTTCTGCAGCACCCATCTCCTCCGCCCCCCGTCCAAACGCGAGCTCAAAGATCTCATCATAGTGATCCACGAACCGAGCATCCAGTCCCTCCCTCACGTGCTCTGGCAGCTCCTCATAGTCCTTGCGGTTGGCCATGGGGAACACAAGCAGCTTGACACCGTTGCGACGAGCTGCAATAGTCTTTTCCTTCACCTGTGCAGGAAAGAGCAAAAGGCAGGAGAGGGAGCGTGTGAGTGTTCTGGCAGCTCCTCGTAGTCCTTGCGGTTGGCCTTGGGGAACACGAGCAGCTTCACCCCGTTGCGACGAGCCGCAATAGTTTTCTTCCTTCACCTGTGGGGGAAAATGGGAGCAAAAGACATGAGATAGTGTGTAGGTGCTTTCTGACAGCTCCTCATAGTCCTTGCAGCTGGCCTTGGGGAACACGAGCAGCTTAACGCCGTTGTGACGAGCAGCGATGGTGTTCTCTTTAACCTGCGAGGGGGGAGAGCAGTGAGTACAGGAGGGTGAGAGCAGAAGTGTTATGATCCTCTTGGTATTTCATTTCACATTGGGAAGGGCAATGGTAACAGAATCCCATCGTAGCATGCACCACTGCTCTCACCAATACTTGCACCACTGCGCTTCCCCCTGCTGTCATCACTGCTGTCACCAATGCTGACACCACTGCTAGCACCAACCCCCTTCCATGACACGCAAGTCAACCACAGCTGCAACTCACCCCGCCCCTCCTATGGGCAGCACTCTGCCAGTCAAAGAAACCTCCCCTGTCATTGCCAAGTCCGCCCTCACATGCCGCCCCAGTGCCAGAGACAGCATGGAAGTGATCATGGTGCAGCCAGCACTCGGGCCGTCCTTGGGCGTGGCCCCTGCCGGCACGTGCATGTGCATGCCAGTTACCACAGTACCGAAATTCAATGCACTTCAAGGCAACTCACCCCTCCTATAGGCAGGACTCTTCCAGTGAGCGTGACTTCTCCAGTCATTGCGAGGTCTGCTCGTACATGCCTCTTCATCGCCAGAGACAGCATGGAAGTGATCATGGTGCAGCCAGCACTCGGACCGTCCTTGGGTGTGGCCCCTGCCGGCACGTGCATGTGCATGCGCGTCTTCTTGAAGAACTCATTCCCGGGGTCGGCACGCGTGAGGATTTGTCGCGCCACCGTGTGCGCTATGGTGGCGCTTTCTCTCATCACATCGCCCAGTTGACCCGTGAGTTCGAGACTGCCCCGCTCTGCTGCCTGTGAATAGGGAGGAAGGGAGGAGGAAGGAGAGGAGAAGGGGAGTGGTGGAAGGGAGGGGAGGGAACCAGGGATGTGAAAAGGGGGCTTATCAGGTGTGGCTCCAGCCGGCACATGCATGTGCATGCGCGTCTTCTTGAAGAACTCATTCCCGGGGTCGGCACGGGAAAGATTCTGCCGTGCCACCATGTGCGCTATGGTGGCGCTTTCCCTCATCACATCGTCCAGTTGACCCGTCAGCTCAAGGCTGCCTCTTTCCGCTGCCTGAAATCAGAGAGTGAGGAAAGGAGGGTGGAGAAGGGAAGAGTGACGTTGAATGGTGGGCTGTTGTTAGGCATGGTCTTAAAGTGTGGCCCCAGCCGGCATGTGCATGTGCATGCGCGTCTTTCTAAAGAACTCGCTGCCGGGGTCGGCTCGCATGAGAATCTGCCGCGCTACGGTGTGGGCTATGGTGGCGCCTTCCCTCACCACACCTCATCCACCCAATCAATGATCATTTGCAAACCATCTCGCTTGCAAAAGCCTCCTGAGACCCTCTGAGAAGCATAGCAGCACTCGCACCTGCTCGATCACTGTTGCTTCAACATAGAGTGTTGATCCCCCCATGGCAGTCCACGCCAGGCCCATGACCACACCCACGGGCGTCTCATCATACATGCGCTCGCTCTGAAACACCGGCTGCCCCACATACTCCACTCAATAATACACCTTTTTTCGCTTGATCAATCACATGCAAGCCTTCAAACCTTCTCGCTTTCAGGGGCCTTTGAGCCTCCCTGAGAAGCATAGTAACGCCCTCACCTGCTCGATCACGGTTGCTTCAACGTAGAGGGTCGAGCCTCCCATAGCCGTCCATGCCAGCCCCATGACCACTCCCACGGGCGTCTCATCATACATGCGCTCGCTCTGAAACACCGGCTGCCCCACATACTCCACCAACGTGCCCTCGTCCACCACTATCCTCTCTCCCTCCTCTTCAGCCTTCTTCTCAGCCTCATTCTCCCTTCCCTTGCCCTCCTTAACCTCATCCGTGTCCCCATGAATATCCACTACACCTTCCTTCTCCTCTCTCTCCCCCCTCCTTAGAACCCGGTTCTCCTCCTCGTCCTTTTCCTTCACCTCGCCCCTCCTCTCCCCCTCCCCCCCATCGTCTGACAGCCGTGTAACAAGGTCCAGAGCTCCCTCTGTCCCCTCCATAATCTTCTCCGCTATCTCCATACTATCCTTCCTGCTGCTGCTGCTGCTGCTGCTGCTTGAATCACTGCTGCTGAAATCGCTGCTGCTGCTGCCACGAGTAATGCCGGAGATTATATCCTCCTTGGCCTCTTCCCCATCCTCCAGCAATCCCGCTGCTGCCGCTGCAGCTACCTTCTTTCGTTCTTCCTTTTCCCCCTCCCTACGCACTATTTTCAACGCCACCTGCAAACCACGGAGATGGGGAGAGAGAGGGAGTGTGCGTGCAATTCATATCCTCCTGTTCCTCCCCCTCCTCCCTCTTCCCTCTCTCCCCTCTTAATTTCAAGAACCAGAAACTCATCCCTGCACCCTTCCCAGCAATAGAAATTCCTTACCTTGCGGTAAATCCTCTCTATGTGCTTCTGCAGGTTCTGGAGTGCAAGCACCCCTACACCAGAGCAAGCACCCCTGCACACTCCCAGCAGCCCTGCACACCTCCCAACACCCCTGCACACCTCCCAACACCCATAACACCCCTTCCTGCACACACTCTCCCTACCTTGCGGTAGATCCTCTCGATGTGCTTCTGCAGGTTCCTCACGCCCGCCTCCCTGCAGTACGTCTCGATAAGCGAGTGCAGTGCAGTGTCCGTGACCAGCACCTGGTGGGAGGAGGAGGGAAGGGAGAGAGTAGCTGGTGAGGCGCTTGTACCCAGGCTCCTCACGCCCGCCTCCCTGCAGTACGTCTCAATGAGCGAGTGCAGTGCACCGTCTGTCACCAGCACCTGTGGTTCATCAAGGAGGGAGGGTGGGGTGGATGATAGTGGTGAGGTGCCTCAAAAGGTTCCTCACGCCCGCCTCCCTGCAATACGTCTCAATGAGCGAGTGCAGTGCAGTGTCCGTCACCAGCACCTGGTGGTTTCACGAGGAAAGAGGGCGGGTGAAGGAGGGAAGGGAGAGTGGTGAGGCGCCTCCAAAGGTTCCCCACGCCTGCTTCCCTGCAGTACGGTCTCGATGAGCGAGTGCAGTGCACCTTTGAGACGTCTCAGTATCCGTGACCAGCACCTGGTGGTTTCACGAGGAAAGTACCCTCAATGAGTGAGTGCAGTGCAGTATCCGTCACCAGCACCTGGTGGTTTCACGAGGAAAGTACTCTCAATGAGTGAGTGCAGTGCAGTATCCGTCACCAGCACCTGGTGGTTTCACAAGGAAAGTACCCTCAATGAGTGAGTGCAGTGCAGTATCCGTCACCAGCACCTGGTGGTTTCACGAGGAAAGTACCCTCAATGAGTGAGTGCAGTGCAGTATCCGTCACCAGCACCTGGTGGTTTCAGAAGGAGGGAAGGGAAGGCGACGTGTGAGACTGGTGGCGCCAAGCAACTCTGCACGCGCCTTCAAAGGTTCCCCACCCCAGCCTCCATGCGATTCAGCAGGGTGCGAGCGGTTTTTGAGAATTCTCAAGAACCAGGTTCCCCACCCCAGCCTCCATGCGATTCAGCAGGGTGCGAGCGAGGGTACTAGAGTGTGTGAAAGGGAGTGATAAGAGCATTCGAGTAACAAGAGTGTGAGGAAGTGCGTGGTAAAGTGTGAGAGAGAGCCCCCACCTGTTCTGGCTTCACGCCACACCCAGAGCGAGCAGCTGGTTCAAGGTACCCTCTAGCGATGTGGGTCTTCTCGTCTGAAATGTACCCCACCAGCCGAATCACCTCCATGCGATCCAGCAGGGGCGCAGGGATGGTCTCTAGCATGTTGGCCGTGCACACAAAGAGCACCTGAAGGGGGAGATTGTAGGCAGATGAGAGCAGGAAAAGGAGAGCGGGGAGAGGAAGGAGGTCGGTGGGAGCATAAGCCGCCTTCTCGTCTGAAATGTACCCCACCAGTCGTATCACCTTCATGCGACCCAGCAGAGGCGCCGGGATGGTCTCCAGCATGTTGGACGTGCACACAAAGAGCACCTGAGGGGGAGAGGGGGGGGTGGGACAGGGATAGTGGGAGGGCGGCCAGTAGCAATATAAACGTCCCACGTGATAAGAATGTACCCCACCAGCCGAATCGATCCAGCAGTGGTGCCGGGATGGTCTCAAGCATGTTGGCTGTGCACACAAAGAGCACCTGCGGGGAGGAGGACACAAGGCAGCAGGAATACAACTCTCCTTTCCTGAATGGGGAGAGGCAATATCAATTGGGCAAAGGCGTAAGAGACACGCCTTAGAGATGTGCCTTGCAGACGTGCAACTTGCAGCAGACACACAGCAGCACACACCTTGGAGAGGTCGAGGGGCACTTCCAGGTAATGGTCCAGGAACGACGCGTTCTGCTCCGTGGCACTTGCACTTGCATACACACTTGATAGGTCCGCACAAGCAACTAACACCAACACACACACAAGGCCCACCTTGGATAGGTCCAGGGGCACGTCCAGGTAGTGGTCCAGGAACGACGCGTTCTGCCCCACTCACTTGCACTTGCCACACTTGAGAGGTGCACCCGAGCAACGAAAGACAAGGCACACACGGCACACACACGGCACACACACGGCACACCCACGGCACACACACGGCACACACACGGCACACACACGGCACACACACGGCACACACACCTTGGAGAGGTCCAAAGGCACGTCCAGGTAGTGGTCCAGGAACGACGCATTCTGCTCCGGATCCAGCATCTCTAGCAACGCCCCTGCTGGGTCTCCCGCGTGGCCCCTGCCCAACTGTAGGCGAGGGAAGGGGAAGCGGGAAAGTGGGGGAAACGTGACGAGAGGAGAGCAGGGTAGAGGAGGAAGAGTGGGGTAGAGGAGGAAGAGTGGGGAGACATAAGCAGTCGAGAATATCCAACAGCCCACACACCCCAAACACGTACCTTGTCAAAATCTCATCAATAAGAACAAGTGGGTTGCCCACCCCTGTGGACTTGACGCACTGCACCATATTGCCAGGCATGGCGGCATGGCTCCCATCGCACACACACACCTTAGTGCCTGCCCCGCTCAGGTGACTTTTGAGTCGACTCAAAAGGCATGGCGGCATGGCTCCCATCGCACACACACACCTTGGTGCCTGCCCCGCTGAGGTGACTTTTGAGTCGACTCAAAAGGCATGGCAGCATGGCTCCCATCGCACACACACACCTTGGTGCCTGCCCCGCTCAGCAGTACCTCCCTCACGCACCTTGTCGATCTCGTCAATCAGCACGAGAGGGTTGGCAACTCCTGTGGACTTGAGGCACTGCACCATCTTGCCTGGCATGGCGCCCACGTACGTGCGCCGGTGACCCTGCAGGGTGAAAGAGGGTAGCATGGGAGAGAGGGAATGACATGGGTTATATTAAGGGGTTACATGGGGACAAGAACGCAGTTGGCCACCCCCGTGGACTTGGGACACTGCACCATCTTGCCTGGCATGGCCCCCACGTTTTTTCAGGAGATTTGTGGACTCAACACTCGACCCGTGTCGAGTCCCCCGATCGAGTCGAGTCGAGAAACTCGACTCAGTGCACATGTCTACATGGGAGAGAGGGAATGACATGGGTTTTATGAAGGGGTTTAATGGGAACAAGAAAGCGGTTGGCAACTCCTGTAGACTTGGGACACTGCACCATCTTGCCGGGCATGGCCCCCACGTACGTGCGCCGGTGACCCTGAAACGGAGAGAGAAGGGAAGATTGGAAACGAGAGGGTTACAAAAAAAGAACGGATCATGAGACGCCTGAAAAAGGGGTGAAGGGAGGGTGGGAAAAGACAATGTGCTTTCAGATTTCAGATGAGCGCAAGATCTGAAGCACCGACTCTTCTTGAGGCGCCTCAAGCACCAATTTTTGAGGCGCCTCAAACACCGATTTTTTAGGCGCCTCAAGCACCGATTTTTTAGGCGCCTCAAGAAAAGACAATGTGCTTTCAGATGAGTGCAAGATCTGACGCACCGACTCTCCTTGAGAATTCTAAAAAAACCACCTGCGACAAAATGCGTGGGGAAAGAAAATGTGGTGCATGGTGTGTACACAGGCACGTGAAATTAGAAGTGTTTTGAGACGTCTCAAAACACTTCTAATTTCAAATGTGGTGCATGGTGTGCACATCATCTTTCATGGTGCATGCATGGTGTGCACATAGGTTCGGCCTTGAATTGAAGCAGTGGTGCATCACCTTTCAGGCTAACAGCAGCGCAAGATGCCTTAGAACAACACCCTGGCTCACAGTCGAAGGGCTGCAGTACGTGACGGTGGCGCTTAAGCAAAAGGATCAACAGCAAGATGCCTTAGAACACCTGCACCTTTTAGGATCGTGTATGAAGAAGTGTTTTGAGACGTCTCAAAACCTTTCAGGGTAACAGCAGCGCAAGATGCCTTAGCGAACACCTGCACCTTTTAGGATCTGATGGAGCACATGCTGACGTGTGTGTGTGTGTGTGTGTGGACACGTGCACAAAAACATCCCCACCTTGATCTCTGCCACGTCAGACAAGCCCCACCTTGATCTCTGCCACGTCAGACAAGCCCCACCTTGATCTCTGCCACGTCAGACAGCCCTCCGACAGAGAAGCGGTAGAACTTGCGATCCAGGGCGTTGGCAATAGAGCGGCCGATGGAGGTCTTTCCGACACCTGGCGGGCCAACGAGGCAGATGATCTTGCCTGGCATGACGTGGCAACACACAAGGGGTAACAAGAGAAGAAACAACGGGAGACAAGTGAAGACTGTGGTGATGCGGAAAGAGGGAGACAAGGGCCGAGAGTAGTGCAGCGGCAGTGCTGCAACAACCTTTCAACCTTTTCACAGCGATTGTCAGGCCAGAGCCCACACACACACCAGCAACCCTACCCCACCCACCCAGGCCACCCCTTCACCCACACATACCGTGCATGCTGCCTTTCAGCCTTCCAACAGCAATGAACTCGAGAATGCGCTCCTTCACGTCTGTAAGCCCATAGTTATCCGCATCCAGCAACACCCACACACACCCACTCACACACTACTACTTACCTACTCACCACACACAGACACTCACACACCCGTCAGTGAAACCACACTCGTACCATGTGTGCTGCCTTTGAGTCGCCCCACAGCGATGAACCCCAGGATGCGTTCCTTCAGATCCGTCAGCCCGTAGTGATCAGCGTCCAGCACCTGCTGTGCCCTCACCCCCACCCACCCACTCTCTGCCGCACGCCCGCACCCCCAATCGCCCACACACTCGTACCGTGCGTGCTGCCTTTGAGCCTGCCAACAGCAATGAACTCGAGAATTCGCTCCTTCACGTCCGTCAGCCCATAATGGTCCGCATCCAGCACCTGCTGTGCCCGCACCACGTCCAGATTCTCCTCGCTGGGGGGGAAATTGGGCGGAGGGGGAACAAGGAACGGGTGTATCAGCAAGTGGAGCAGTTGTTGATGAAGCAAGTGGAGGATGAAGCAGCGCTTGGTGCTGAGCTGATGAAGCGGACCGCATTCTACACCAGTTGTTTTGATACGTCTCTAAACTCAAAACCCTTTTGAACTCCGACGAGCTACCCTCGACCCACCCACCCACCCACTCACCCATTACCCCCTCTCGCTACCTCACCTGTAGTGCCCCCAGGGGATGGACGTGAGCCAGTCAAGGTAGTTGCGAGTCACATTGAACTCCGACGAGCTCGCCTCCAGCCCCTGCAGCTTCGCCATCTCCTCCTCTATCACCTGGTGGGTAGGGTTAATGATTGCGCGAAGAAAAAAACATTTATCATCAAAACATGATGGTAGGAATAAAGTACAGGTGATAATAGATTGGTTTTGAGGGAGATTAGATTGGTTTTGAGGGAGATTAGATTGGTTTTGAGGGAGATTAGGAAAACGAAGGGACATGCGAGTGGAGAAGACGGAAGGGACACTAGAGGACGTATCAGGATTCCTGATTCAGGAACGCGTTTGAGAGTGTAAGTCTCAGAAGTATCAGGAGCAACAGAGAGGTGAGCTTAAGACGCCGTCAAGAGATAAAGAAATAATATCCTCTAAGCATTGTGCTACTGTGAGTGGAATGGATTGCTGCCGTCATCAAACCTGCAAAGAGGTGACTTTTGAGTCGACTCAAAAGTCAGCATTGTGCTACTGTGAGTGGAATGGATTGCTGCCGTCATCAAACCTGCAAAGAGGTGACTTTTGAGTCGACTCAAAAGTCAGCATTGTGCTACTGTGAGTGGAATGGATTGCTGCCGTCATCAAACCTGCAAAGAGGTGACTTTTGAGTCGACTCAAAAGTCAGCATTGTGCTACTGTGAGTGGAATGGATTGCTGCCGTCATCAAACCTGCAAAGAGGTGACTTTTGAGTCGACTCAAAAGTCAGCATTGTGCTACTGTGAGTGGAATGGATTGCTGCCGTCATCATACCTGCAAAGTTTCCATTGTCGTACCTGCATGGCTGCTGGCGGGCAGTTCTGCTGAAATGGCTGAAGCTTCTCCTTAAAGCGACCTGAGAAGACATGGGCACAAGTTTAAGGTTGTGGTGCCTCAAGAGACCTAGACGACATGGCACAGCACAGCACGGCATGGCATGGCATGGTATGGCATGGTATGGCATGGTATGGCATGGTATGGCATTGGCACGGCACGGCATGTCTCACCAATGAGTGCTGTCTTGTCATCCTTCTCCAGCCCCAGCTCCTGAACACCACGAGGGGCAAATGATGGGATGACAGAGCAGCAAATGGGGCGATGAGAGAAGAGAACGAAGACCGAATGTGTAATAGAAGAATGATGCCCCTCCCCTCACCCTCAAAAACCCCTCACCTTCTTGATCGCCTTGAGCTGTTGCATCAGCATGTACCGGCGGCTATCCCCATCCAGCACAAGGCATTACTGGCCTCATCTTCCTTCCCAACACACCGCCTCACCTTAATCATCGCCTCACCTTCTTGATGGCCTTGAGCTGTTCCATGAGCATGTATCTGCGGCTCTCCCCCGCCAGTTTCTCCTCCACGCCCTTGGCGATGTTCGCCTGCCATGCCAGCGCAGGGCGACACACAGATAAGGACAAAGCAGTCACGGAGAAGAGGGTTAGGGTTACGCTTAGACCTTTCAAGGCATGTACCGGCCGGATAAGGACAAGGAAGTCTCAATATTCAGTTAAGGTGGTAAGACAAAGGGGTCAAGGATTAGCATGAATGACATGGGTAGTCACAAACATGAAGATAAGAATAGACATCGTCTCACCTGCAGCCTGCTGTCACACCTGCAGCCTGCTGTCACACCTGCAGCCTGCTGTCACACCTGCAGCCTGCTGTCACACCTGCAGCCTGCTGTCACACCTGCAGCCTGCTGTCACACCTGCAACATGGCTTGGTGTATCACCTTCAAGCTGGCATCACCAGCATCACCTGCATCACCTGCACCACCTGCACCACCTGCACCACCTGCACCACCTGCACCACGTGCACCACCTGCAGCACCTAAATCCCCTTCGTCGCACCTGCAGCACCTAAATCCCCTTCGTCGCACCTGCAGCACCTAAATCCCCTTCGTCTCACCTGCAGCACCTAAATCCCCTTCGTCTCACCTGCAGCTTGGCGAGCTCGAGTTCCTTCTTGAGCAGCATGAGGGCGAGGGAGAGACGCTTGCCCACCTGGGGGTGCAGGGATGGAAGAGAGGTGGTTGACAGATGGGGAGGGGAGAGGAGGAAGAAGAAGGGAGATGGAGGGACATGGTCGAACGAACCATCCTGAGGAGAAAGGAATGGGATGGCAGTGGAAACCAGGTGCAAGAACTGTTACGACACAAGCCCATGCAAAGCCACGAACATGGTGATGTGCTCCTTGTACAGCGGGTTGAGGGCCGCCCTCAGTGGGGGGTTGAGGGACTCACACGCACACATTCACCTGCACATGATGCCACCATCACTCACAATCACCAAGAGGTTGCGTACCCTCTTTGGCAAGCGCCAACACACTAACATCCGTGGGAGGGACAAATGTTGCAGTGTATGTTTTTTGAGAATTCTCAAAAAACATACACATTCACCTGCACATGATGCCACCATCACTCACAACCAGCTCTTGAGTCGACTCAAAATGATGCCACCATCACCCTGCAGCACCTGCACATGATGCCACCATCACTCACAACCAGCTCTTCTAGAACCGATTGTAGCGTCGGCTCATCAGCAGTCGTCAGTGCAGCACCAAAATCCGCCATTCTTGAAGCATTGAACTCCCCCACGTGCTGCACGAACATGGCTATGTGCTCCTTGTACAGCGGGTTGTGGGGGGGGACTGTTGCTGGGTGAGGGGGTGAGGGTGACTCACATCCAGCTCTTCCAACACGGATTGCAGTGTCGGTTCATCCGCAGTGGTCAGGGCCGCCCCGAAATCCGCCATCCTGGAGGCGTTGAACTCCCCCACGTGCTGCACGAACATGGCTATGTGCTCCTTGTACAGCGGGTTGTTGTGCCTCACGAGGTCCCCTCTTCCTGCTCTAGGCGTGTGCTCAGAATGATCAAACCACGCGCATGCATGCCCATCTGCACACGAGGAAACCACCATGACTCACATCGAGCTCTTCCAGCACCGACTGTAGAGTAGGCTCATCCGCGGTCGTAAGCGCAGCACCAAAATCCGCCATCCTGGAAGCATTGAACTCCCCCACGTGCTGCACGAACATGGCGATGTGCTCCTTGTACAGCGGGTTGTGGGGGGGACCGGGGGTGAGGGTGACTCACATCCAGCTCTTCCAGAACCGACTGGAGTGTCGGCTCATCCGCTGTAGTGAGTGCAGCGCCAAAATCAGCCATCCTGGAGGCGTTGAACTCCCCCACGTGTAGAGCGGGTTGTGGTGGGGGACCGGGGGTGGGTGAGGGGGTGAGGGTGACTTACGTCCAGCTCTTCCAGAACCGACTGGAGTGTGGGTTCATCGGCGGTCGTAAGCGCGGCACCAAAATCAGCCATTCTTGAGGCGTTGAACTCCCCCACGTGCTGCACGAACATGGCGATGTGCTCCTTGTACAGCGGGTTGTGCCTCACGAGGTCCTTGAGCGTGCTCACCACCTCCATCACTGTGGCCTTTATCATCACACTGTTGCTGTCGTAGGGGAGATCCTGACGTATGGCGGGGTGCAAAGGGTTGCAATGCGGTGCAACGTGTTGAAGAAGATGAAGGTCAACGGCACACACACGAGGTCCTTGAGCGTGCTCACCACCTCCATTACTGTGGCTTTTATCATCACACTGTTGCTGTCGTATGGCAGATCCTGAGGTGAAATGGGAGGTGCGGTGAGATGCGGGGGGGTGCAATGCGTGCAAGAGAATGAAGGGTTGTGCCTCACGAGGTCCTTGGGCCTGCTCACCACCTCCATTACTGTGGCCTTTATCATCACACTGTTGCTGTCGTAGGGGAGATCCTGAGGTGAAGTGGTTTGTAATGCGGTGCAACGGGAGTGCTATGGGTTGCAATGGGGTGCAAGGGGGTGAAGGTTGAGGGCACGCACACACACGAGGTCCTTGAGCGTGCTCACCACCTCCATTACCGTGGCTTTAATCATCACACTGTTGCTGTCGTATGGTAGGTCCTGGCATGGGGTGCAACGAGAAGGTGCAGTGCGGTGCAGTGGGGTGCAGTGTGTGTGAGAGGATGAAGGTTGGGCACCAGCACGAGGTCCTTGAGCGTGCTCACCACCTCCATCACCGCACTGTTGCTGCTTTCATTCATGCCGTGCATGGAATGAAACAAAGAAGACTGCCCACACTGCCGAAGGCAGCCTGGAGCACAAAAAAAAAAAAAAAAAAAAAATCTAAAGAGAACTCCAAAGGAATGTGGCTGACACTTCACACAGGCGCACTACAATCCCACCCATCCCCACCATGACATGGTCCACAGTGACAGTGAGTGGGCCGCCCCCCACCGTGCCTGTCAGCCTGAGCTCCGTAATATGAGGGACCTACGGCGCCTATGATATGAGGGAATCGTTCCCCACCCATCCCCACCTTGACATGGTCCACGGTGACAGTGAGTGGGTCCTCCCCCACCATGCCTGTCAGCCTCAGTCATTAGTATGCTACACATCACGGCAAACAGCACCCTCACACTATTGAGTGTGGCTTAGAGGTTGGCCTCGAGTAATTATAAGGGGAACACCGCACCCCACCCATCCCCACCTTGACATGGTCCACGGTGACAGTGAGCGGGTCCTCCCCCACCATGCCTGTCAGCCTCAGCTCTATGATATGAATGACCTAGAGTGTCTATGAAATGAGGGAATTGTTCCCCACCCATCCCCACCTTGATATGGTCCACGGTGATAGTGAGCGGGTCCTCCCCCACCATGCCTGTCAGCCTCAGCCGCATGGAATGCAGCGAATGGAAAAAAAACAGCCTCAGCACATGTTACATATCACAGAAAGCAGAACCACCATCCCAATGAGCCTGCCACCGCATCACACCCATCCCCACCTTGATATGATCCACGGTGACAGTGAGCGGGTCGTCCCCCACCATGCCTGTCAGCCTCAGTCGCCGGTGCCCCATCAGCAGCACCTGTGCTGAGTCGCCGTCCAGTGGCTTGATCACCTGCATCACCTGCAGGGAGAGGGAGGAGAGTGGGGAGTGGAGAGAGGAGGGTGGGGGTGTGGGCAAGGGTAGTGTTGTAGGCGGCATCACCAGCAGCTCAGCCGCCGGTGCGCCCCATCAGCCGCTGAGCTGCTGGTGATGCAGGGAACAAATCAGCCAGCAATCAGCAGCACCTGCGCCAAGTCGCCGTCCAGTGGCTTGATCACCTGCATCACCTGCACGGCAGAGTAGGGGAAGGAGACGAAGGTATGGAGGAGAGGGGGGGGAGGGAGGAGTGCGAGAGGCGAAGAGAGGTGGCTTGATTACCAGCATCAACAGCTTGAGCACCCTACCATTCCCACGTAACCCATCTCTCTCCACCCCTTCTCACCTGGGCGAACGTCCCTGTCTCATGCAGCTTGCTATACAGCTCCCTTCCCTTGATAAACGCCTCCCCTCCACCCTCACCCCCACCCCAAACATCACCACCGCTTTCCACCGCTTCTCACCTGAGCGAACGTGCCTGTCTCATGCAGCTTGCTATAAAGCTCCCATCCCTTTATAAACGCCTCCCCTCCACCCCCACCGCCAACACCTTCCCCCTCCCCCACCCCCTCTCCCAACCCCGCACCTGCTCCTTCCGCCTGCCCTCCCCCCGCCCCTGCGCCCCCTCCGCTAACCACCCCCCCGCCCCACTCCTCCCCCACACCGTCACTCCTCTCTGGCCCCAACTCGCGCCTGTCACTGCTGCTGCTGCTTGTGGCTGCTCCGTTTGCCCCATCTGCTCCCTCTGCTCCGGCTGTTCCAGCCGCGCCAGCTGAAGGATGAGCAACAGCAGCAGCAGAAGCGGCAGCAGCGTGGTCGTCTCGGACGAGGAACGCGCCCACATAGGGCGTCCCTTGCGCCTTGAGCTGCTGTAGCGCCGCCACCAGCTTGGGGTTCTGCAGCCACGGAGGGGGGGGAGGGACGGAGAGGGGAGAGGGGAGGAGGGATCACCAGCAGTAGCGGCAGGAGCAGGAGCAGCACTGGTGGAGACAGAAACAGCATGGTCGTCTCGGTCAAGGAATGCGCCCACATAGGGCGTCCCTTGCGCCTTGAGCGCCTGCAGCGCCGCCACCAGCTTGGGGTTCTGGGGTGTGGGGGGAAAAGGGGGGAGCAGGGAAAGAGTGGGGGAGAGGGAGTGGAGAACGCGCCTACATAGGGCGTCCCTTGCGCCTTGAGCGCCTGTAGCGCCGCCACCAGCTTGGGGTTCTGCAGCAGCCGAAGGAGGAGGGGAGTGGGGAAGGGGGAAAAGAGTGGGGAAGAGAGGAACGGGAACGCGCCCACATAGGGTGTCCCTTGCGCCTTGAGCGCCTGTAGCGCCGCCACCGGCGTCTTGACGATAACGGGGACGTAGAAGATTAGGAAGAGTAGTCTCCGCATGAGCGGAATCGAGGTGTATTTTGAGGCGACTCAAAAACGAAACACGCGCGCCCCCCACCTTGACTATAACGGGGACGTAGAAGCCTGGGAATAGTGGTCTGCGCGTGAGCGGAATCGCGAGCACTTTCGGGTAATGCTCGGGGCGCGGACCCGCGGGGACGATGGACGTCTCCTCCGCCAAACCCCCTCCTTCCCCCGTTCCTTCCCCCGCTGCGCCTTCCCCCATCACAAATTCCGCCCCGGCTTCCGCGGATGTGCCCGCATTTTCCCCCGCAGTTTCCCCCACGGAATTCCCCTCCCCCCGTGCGGCCGCCTCAGCGTTCGCAGCCGCTGCAGCGGGAGCGGAAGAGGCTCCTTTGATTTCCGTGGCGGACCTGATCCGCGAATCACGCCGTCTGATGCGGCCGCGCCGGGCGCCATGGTACCCTGCGTGCGCTACGGCATCCGCTGCGACTTCCTCCCCCACTGCTTCCGCCGATGCCTCACTAGCGGCGGCTTCCCCCACCTCCCCCGCCCCTTCCGCCGATGCTTCCGCCACGCGCGCGGATTCCCCTCCGCCTTCCGCTACTACTTCCGCCTCGAGTCCCCCTTTCACAGAATCTCCTTTCCCGCTTGCATTCGACGCATCCGCAGCCGAATCTCCCTTCTTGCCTCCTGCATTGCTCCCGTTCCCTGAATCTCCGCCGGAATTTGCGGTGAATCCGCGGATCCATGCTGTTCCGGCGGCGGCCTGAGCCTGATCCCAGAGCACCAAGACTCGGTACTGGACTGGCTGGAGCGCGCGGTGCGCTGCGGATGGGTGCAATGCGGTGCAGAGGACACGATCGAGGTGCCGTGGTAAGCACGGCTTCAGAGCTGCCAGCATGGCAACTAGGGGAGTAAGCACTAGGCCAACGTACTGCCTAGCTATGCTGCCTACCAGGATCGTGAAAGGCGACCAGCAGCATTGAAATGATGAATGTGCTGATTCAGCAGCAAATGAAGCAGGGTGAGCGAATGTGCGGACAGTTGCTTTGCTAAGAGGGTCCAATGCTGGGTATTTGCGTCGGGAAACGCTTAGCTAAGAATTGCAAGTAGCAGCTCCAGTTGCGTGAATCAGAAGCGAGTCCACGTGGTAAGCTGCCGACGCTTCTGTCGAATCGCCAGAATGTTCGCCTGAAGGAAGGATTCTCCACAAGCATAATCCTCGATAATGTGTAGACACGAGTAAGTTACTATTGACATATTTTCCCAAGAAAGAATATATATTTTCACGACTGGGATCCCACATTGTCGAGCTGCTGAAATGGTAACCGCACCTACTTTGTAGGGGCCGAAACGCCACTCCTTCGCGCCACTTTCTGCCTCGTGGATCGCCACAAGGAATCCAGCGGTTCAGACATGGCGGAGCGGCCGTGAGCGATCGCCACGATTTGATGATCGCTGCCACGATGGTAACCGCTCGTGTACGGCGGAAATTGAAATTCAGCCAATCAACGCTCCAACAGTCGTCGACCGAGTTCGCCGAGATCAGGCAGCATGATTCTCATTTTCGCGCACCAAATTCAACCAATCCTCAGCAGGAACATCATCCAACGTCTGTCGTCTGACAGGCGTGAGTGTAGGGCGGGAGGATTCTGGAACCGACAAAAGTCAGCGGGTTTTGCTGTGGATCTCTGGGTGCGGTGCAACCGAGCCGCACATAACTCTCAACTCAAATCTCCGTTGTCATTCGCACCATTGGCACCTCCAACTCCTTGTCGCTCAAAAGCAAATTCAACCACGCTATATTACTATTACACCGTTCTCACATCGTACGAAACCGTACTCTAGTGGAGACTTCTGGCACCTCCTAGTGGATTGACACTCCACTAGAAATAAAATCATTTGAGGCCCATGTCCACAAAAGAAGTGGCACTGTCACGAGAAAGCATTGACAAGAACGAACAGATATGGGTTGGGGATGTATAAGAGCAACCGCTGAGGGTTGGAAGGTATTCCGCAGAATCAGCGAGGTTCGAGAATAACAGGACGCATCAGCCGGAGGGGTTAGATGAAGCATCAGCCGGAGGCGGTACTATCCACTCCATCACAGCAACTTCTGCTGTGCTCATTTCGTTCCGCTCAGCCGTTTGATGCCGTCAAGCATCTATTCGGATCGTAAATATCCGTACCATTCGTGAAAAGGAAGCACAGACCTCGAGCTCACCGTTCACCATTGTCCAGAATTTCAGCTACTTTAGGTTCGGCATGGAGGAATACTAGACAGCCTCATCCCTCCGACGAGTTAGCCATTCCGTTTCCTCGTTTGCTCAACACAATCCATAAGCCATCGTCTACACACCCACTTGAGGCAATTCATAGGCTATCGCTTGCCAAGGATCACGAAAGAATGAGTCCGAGCCGTTGCCACCCCCTCGAGCCCAACAATTCCAGCAAAAGTATCAGCGTCGTCGGCGTAATAAGCAGCTGCTGGTCCACCCTAACCCCGAAGAACCTTCTCCCAGGAGACGTCATTCTCGCGCTTCACCCTGTCTCCGTCTCCCATTTTCCCGAAGACGCAACAGCACACGTGGCGACCAGACGGACTGCGACTGATCTGAGTCGGATCCGTCAAGTGCGCAGTTTGCGTCGTCTGGTTGACATGCTCGCTGCGGGATGTGCCGGCGGAGCGTTTCGCGGATGCAAGGCGACTCTCACGGTGCTTCGAGGGACCAGGTAGTGTCTTCACGTATAATGACAAACAGTGTCACCATCTCACGATTCTCTCCCGTCCTTCTTTTGTTCTGCTTTGCGTTTGCTTTTCCTTACTCTTTTGTTTTGTTATTCAAGTCGTTATTCAAGGAGAGCTGCTAAAATTCATCTTTACCCCTTGTAAATGGAGTAACCTCTCCTCCCTGAGCAGCAAATTCATTATATCAGTGGAGATTTCGCCATCAGCTTTGGTACACGAAACCGCATCTCAAATCACGGAGGCTGAAGCAACCCGACCCGGATTCCAGTTATTCCTGAAACCTTCGAACAGTCCGTTGCCTTGCGACTCGTGCATTTTTCAAGGCGTGACTATAGCGGAAGGCAGCCATGAGCTGTTCGCTCCTCTTGCTAGAAAAACAGAAGCCACCATTCTCCGTTTAGATCGGCTCAGGTCTTTTCGAGACGCTACCAGCAACGCATCGTGGCCGCGACCTGTGAACCTTCCAGGAAGACAAATTCAGGAAAGTCCTCGAACGGCAGCTGTGGCAGCGGCTGCTAGAAGCAGGAATTCAGCTGCAGAAACGGAGTCGATGTGCATGAAAATTCCGGCACAGGCGAGAAGAGAGGCAACAGCATGCCATGGCGGATGCGGCCTTGATATTATTCAAGGGTTAACTGAACACTGTAGCGGAGCTGACGGCTCTTTTGCTGGCTGCTTTGACATCGAATGGGGGCTGGCGTCTAGAGTCGGGTCCGTCGGGAAGGAGAATGGCGCTCCTCCGTTCAGCAGTGCTGATGCGTTCGTGGAGCCGCGTGCTGGAAGAGACGACGAGCCGCTGTACAGGCCGTTGCTGGTGGACTTTAGCCGCCAATGGCGGCAGAGGAGGGTTGGTGACTTGGCAGCGTGTGGATCTGCGTGTCAGGATGGTGCTGCAGGATGAGGTGGTGACGAACCTCATCCGGATGCCGTTGGGGTGAAGGAAGAGCCTAACTGGAGAAGGATGATCTTGGAAGGAGCTGTGATGTTGGGAGTAGGAAGGAGTGATGAAGTTTGATACTTGGAAGAGATTTTTTTGAAAGGAGGATAGTGGGTCGCTGAGCACGGGTCTTCCCTTGAGGATGGTGTTGGGACAGCTGGAGGATCGGAGGTTCCGTCGACCAGGCTGACGTCATCAAATGATGGGGCTTTCTGCTTTCTCTTCTGAAGACAATCAAGGCCATGCAGAGTACCTCTGCAAAGGGTACGTCTGCAGGCAACATACGCAGGCCTGCTTGCAGCTTTTCCTTTTGCCTTCACAAGGCAACTGGGCACGGAGTGACAGCATCTCCTCTAGGAATGGTCTCCTGCTCACTGGCCTTGTGAATGCAAAAGGAGGAGCTTGATGTGGTTTTATCTTTGTTTGTTCTACGGTCTACCTCACACGCTGCAAATCTTGTCAGCATCGGTTCTACCGCGATTCACATTTATTGGGAAACCCAACACACAAATACGAACTTCTGTAGCCAACAAACAACGTACACATAGCGCCTGTGGTAATGTCACAGCTATCCACACAGGAATGGTGCTACGCTCTCTCCACCTTAGTATGCAGCCAGCATCATTCCAATCAGCCAGCATCTTTCAGCCTTGACCTCCAATTCGGCATGTCAGAAGGAGCCAACGTAAGAAGAGCACCAGGCCCAACATTGTAATCCGACAGGAGCTTCTGAGCATTCTTCATGTATGCCGCCTGATTCCCACAGAAATAACCCTGGTTCAGGTTGCTGAACGGTTCCATCCAACGGCCCTCGTGAAGCAGCATTTGCTGGAAGATAGGTATGCCAGTGGATTTTTGAATCGTGGACATCACGGATTCTACGGTCGCTTTGGGAGATGCCACTTCTAGGACGTAAAAGCTGCCATTGAGGGAGTTTTTTATCAGCAGCTGCATGGGAGTCGCGATCAAGGAGGACCTTTTCTCCTGTCAGATCAAACTCCAAGCCTTATCAGCCACACCAAACGTAGCTGCGGTCCCAGCAATTCGACTATGATGACGCGTTCCTTAACTAGTCAGGCACTGCACCAGAAGGTCGCGGGAGTCTAAGCCGATAATTACATGATCTGTATTTGAAAATGGTGAATCTCACGAGGTCCATGTTGGCGGTGAAGAGAAATGTCATAATAACGCATTAGGTTGTCGGCTTCGAGCACTTCGGCTCAGGTAGTGAGGGGCAAGCGCAACGTGGAATGGTAAGACGGCATTAGGTTGTGCTAGCATGCACGCTGAATCTCGAATCGCGAAAGTGAGATCCGAACCACATCTTCCACTGAAGCACGTGGCAGACTATAAATTACGAACCACAGTCATGCGGCATGCGACATACACCTAGTCCGCGGTATTTTAACCGCCGCTATCTTAACCGCGCGAGGGTACTTCTCCTTGGTCAAACTTTTTTATACGAGTAGTTTTAAAATTTATTGAGGGTAGAATCTAGCATACCCTTTGTGAGGCGACGGCAGTCAAAACCTGGTCAATGCCGATCCGCCCTCTATTTCGGAGCACTAAGTGTGAGTTTATTTAAAAGGAAATGCTTCTGGCTGCGAAACAATAGCCTTGAAGTCTCTGGGTGCCCATCTCATTACCCGAAAATGAACAAAGGGTGTTTGAAGCAAAACAGTTCACGTGGTTAAAATACCGCGGACTAGGTGTATTTACCTACTGTAACGTGCTTCGCGATTTTCACTCTCGAGAATGCTGCTTGAGTTGACAGATCTGCCATCGACCTCTTGTACCTCCCAAACCTAACCTGGCCTGCCACGAACCTTTCAGCCTACATTGGACTGGACACATTGGTCAACTCCGAACCTGAATAATATACCTCGATCCCCGTCTGGGTTTGGCAGTTATCCGGACATTTCTTCAGAAAGGGACCACCAAACCAGAAGTCCCAGATTTGGTGGTTCGGTTTCACTGTACCTTGATGCTGCTTTCCAGCTCACCATAGGCTCGGAACACGTGGTGGTGGCGACAGTAAACAGCTGGTTCCTGGTTGTTCACGCCTCACGCATTTTATTGGTCGATCGCAATGCCGCTCAACGGCTGCCACACCAGATGGCCCGCCCACCCCCAGCCCAGCTGTCGTCGCGTCGTCCCTTCACTTCTCAGTTCGAACCAACCCCTCAAATCCCATTTCTTGTTTTCGTGTTCGGGAATCGGGAATCGGGGGGACGAGTGTACAGCTGGTCGTCTCGTCTCCCTCCTCGCTGTCCGACAGAGCACTACACCACTCTTTACCACGTAGAACAAATCTGAAACCTTACCATGCCCCCAGCTGGTTTCTTTTCGAAGGGTGTTGTTCGGCATTCTCAAGGGGTGTTTCCCTCTCCCCCTCTCCCTCCCCACCACCCCCCAAAACTCAGGGCGCATTCGTGGCCCGTGTCGGACATCAGGTCAGACCCGAAGTGGAGGTTTGGAAGACCCGAAGTGGCTCGATTGTGAGGCAAATCCGAGTTCGGATGAGCCAAATTGGAGACTAAGGGCTTTTTCTACCTGAAGTCTGACACGGGCCACGAATGCGCCCTCAGATGGCTGGATTGTCAACCCAACGCCATCTCTGAGGTCTCTTGTGTACACAAACCCATAACAAATCCAGAAAAAACCGCCAGGAAGGAGCAACACTTGTGCATGGAGCAGGCATGCCCTCACAGCAAGCCAACAGCATCGTGTCGTCGAGTAACGGTTATAACCAGAATGGCTGCACGCGAGGCAACTTGTCCCCCGTACTATTCCTCGCACTCACGAAACGAAAGCCTTGTTCAGCTGCAGGCATCCACATTTGACTCACACCATTCCTGTCCCTCCTCTCCACCCCACCTCATCTGTGGTGGAAATCTATGCTTGTCACGAGTAACAATTACAAAAGAACGTCGACGTCCGAGAAGGAGTGCATCGCCCCGAACGCATTGTTGTTCCAGTTTGCATTCCTTCGGTCTCAACATCAACCCCGTTTGTCCTAGATTCTGCGGTTTGCCACTTCGCGCTGTTGAGTGGTTCTTGGACATACATACGATATACTTCTGAAAGGCGTTCTAACTGTGGGATATCCTCCTTCTGCGAGTCTTCTGTTCTGCCCGCTGACGTCTGTCTGCCACCTCATCCATCGCCGTTCGTGAATTCCCATCGCGCTCCACACTGCCATCGTTTTAGCAGTGCTGTAACTGCTAAAACGGGCCAAACACATCGCGCTCCACACTGCCATCCCGTTTCTGCCCCTCCGTATCTCAGAACCATCTGTTTTCTGCCGTTGCGGCCTTCTCTCGCAGTTGAGCACCAGCTTTTTCGTCTTCGGAATCCCGTATATTAGTCGGTGTACGGAAAATAGGCTCTCAAAAAGCCTTTGCAGCTCCGTTTCCGGAGAAATGCGAAATCGACGAAGATCCGCCACTGTATTCGCATAGTAGTGTTGTTTATCGTCGTAGGCGAGCTTAAGCTTCTCGTTGTTTCAGCCAGTCGGGGCTTTTGAACAATCTCGGCCACAATCACACGCACCCGCGCTCTTTACCGCTTCGAACTCACTCCCAGAACTCTCTAAACCTCTCCACACCTCTCGTATCGTCGGCAATGCCTCTGTCCAAGCGTCCCGTCGACCGCCTCTACGGCGTGGGTGACGGCCGCACCGTCGTCCTCGCCGTCGACACGTGCAAGGGTTGCATATCCGCGTTTGAAGACCTCCTCGCTACAGGCTACAAGTCCACCTCTTTCCTCGGTACGCACGAGAACCCCGTCGCACGGGGAGAGTTCCGCCTATCCCCCGCGGACCGCCTAATTGTCGTCTTTCACCGCGGGCATCACCTTCCGTCTCCGCTGCTGCTCCGCCGCTCGCGGAGCGACGTCGCCGCGCAGCACCAGCAGATGCTGGCGACGCTTCCGCTGCTCACTTCCCCTCATCTCCCCGCGACCGCGCAGCCGTCCTCGCACCAAGCTTCCCCGCAAAAATCGACAGCAACGATGTTCTCATTCCTTGCAAGTCCCCGCGCGCGGTCAGGCTCGTCAAGCCAGCAGCAGCAGCAGCTGCAGGCACAAGGCCAGTGGCCACGCTCTTTATCGGGTAGCCAGCAGCAACAGCAGCAGCAACGGCAGCCGCAGCAGGTGCAGCAACTGCATGCGCCGAATCACTGGCCCAGGTCGCGTTCAGAGGCGGGAGCAGGAGCAGCAGCAGGAACCGCAATGGCGGACGGCAATTCACCCCCCCTTGACGTCGGTACGTTATTTGTTTGCCGTCTTGTGGGCTTCTTAATAGCCAGGTCATTGTGGTTAGTATTGCATGGGACCCTTTCACTGACATCCTCTCTTATAACGTCTCCGTTACAGATCACCCCGCGGCGGCACAGAGTCAGCAGCTCGCCACGTCAACCGACAGCAAGGCTGACGTGGAAACCGTGGTTGTGGTCCCATCTACGCCTGCTAAAGAGGTGACTGCGAAGCTCGCTCGATTCCATGGGCGGACGAAAGCGGCAGCGCTGAAGATGGCCGCCATGGCTCGGTCTTACAGGGTACGTATGTGTGTAGTGTGGAAGGTGTACCTTAGGTGCAGCATTGTAGCTTTAGCATGTTGCATGGCCCGATGAGTGAAACCAAGTGCTGGCAAGGGTTAGGAAATCAACTTTCTCAAAGCAACTTTCGAGTCGAAAAGTGTCGTTTTTCTGCAAATTTTGTGAACACAAGGATCTGACGCCTTCCCTGTCCATCCTTGCAGGTGCGGTTCGAGGCAATTGACCTGGATGACCTCCAAGGATCAGCTGCTCTTGAACTCAGCACCACATCGCCCCAAATGGTTTCCAATTTCAGCCCAAGTTTGAAAAACAGAGGAGCTGGGCCAGGCTGGGATCCACATTCCCAAATGTCCCAGCAACAAGCAGCTGTCCCTGCAGTCCGGCTACCACAGCCACTTCCGCATACTTGGGAAGGCACAGCTCAGGCCATCCTTGCTTTCTGTACTAGAATGGGAGCCGATCACTTGCTTCTGCCTGCCTCGCATGTGTGCGGGTTGAATGTTGGGGCTTGGTTCTCCTGCCGGGGCCTGACGACGCACTGTGTGAGGAATTCTCCTTGTCCAGTTACGAGGCTGGGCAGCACCAACCGGACAACAGATGGACTGCGGGTTCAAGTAGCATCCAGCTGAAAGGCAGGAAATAAGTCATGCTATTTTAAGTTAGGTGTGAAAGGCAGGCTTCTGTGTGGACTGCTTGCTCATGGTAGGGTCTTAGCGCTGCACATCTCCTCGCACAGCTCGTGCATATCAATATAATTTAGAAGCTTGCTAGTTTGTATAGGCAAATGCTTTTTGCCACTTCCTGTTTGTATTTCACATAATTGTGTCCAAAGGCAACTGGCAATAATTCTATCGCTGCCTCGCTTTCTGTGCCAATAGCGGAGTCATCTAACGGCAGCACGAATGGGCCGACAGTTTTGAATTGAGGTGACGCGCAAACCAACAGAATCAGCCGGTCGTTTCTCTATGCTTGTATGTCATTGGAGGTGAGTTCTCGGGAGTTACGACATTTCGGGAGATACAGCGAGTTTGACGACGAAATTAGAGCAGACCTACACCTGACGGTTTGGCGGACAAGTGAGGCAACCAAGGAACGAATGATACCTCGGGTCGGGATCTCCCGACGCCTGGGAGGTAGGAGTGTAGGAAGATGGACGGTTGGATTGGACCCATAAAACTATCGGCATTATCTGTCCTCCAATCCCATCATCCAACCAGTTCCAACTGCCAGGCAGCAGGTGAGAGAAAAGTGGCGGTCAAAGGTTTTCAGTACGGTGAAGAGATATGGACAACGATAATACAAAGAGCTCGTTGAGGAAGTAGTTGGTGTTGTGCAGACATTCCCAAGCAGGAGCTTGGCTTCGCTTCACCACCAGACCTTGTGAAGGTTTTGATTTGGAGAGACGACCAGGGTTATGTGATGCTTGATGTTTGCTCTCTTTGTTTAGTTGCCTAGATTGTGGCTCCCTTCCGGGCAAGTCTGACAAGGTAGCAGGCTGGCCTAGGTTAGCATAGCTAGTTTTATCGTGGTGGTAACCTCTGTGGTTTCCCATCTGACGGAGAAAGCCTACGTTGGAACCAAGAAACACTCAGTCAGGCCAGGCCGTCAGCACAGCTGACCACCCAACGGCGGCTTGTTAGTGCTCTTGTAGTACTCGTTCGCCTCCTCGTCGTCAATCTCAGTGCACAGACAATAAGCAACCATGAGGCGACGACATGAGTCCACCTGGGAGAAGCTGTTCCACTATCGCGGGGTCATTGTCGTCGTATCCGTCCCCATCTTCCTCATTATCTTCATTATTCTATTTATGCCTCACGGAGAGCCAATCACGGACGACCGCGTCATCCATCACAGCGCAGCAGATGAAGTCAACAAGGCGGTGGCGAAAATGCAATCTGGAGGAGAGAACAAGTATGCCGTCATTATCGATGCCGGAAGCACTGGCAGCCGGATCCACGTGTACCAGTTCAACCCCAAACTCGAACTGATGGAGATCGGCGACGACTTGGAGTTGTTTGTTGCGGTACGACTCGCTTAAATATGGAAATTGGCTTCGAAGAACTAATAACACTTGCAGTTACGGTTGTCAGACATGCGTCCGCGTATCCATTCACTGCCATTTCAGATGGCTGCACATTTATCGGTTGATGGTCCAGATCTCGTCCTCCGAGGACGTCATTTCCTTATCTTCACTTATATTTTTTCGGTCCATACTCTTCCCGCCATAATGTCTTCATGCGCACTTGAGGCATTAACGTTTCTGTTCTCCTTGTAATCTCTCCACTGACCTTATCGATACTCGTAACTACTGTCGTCTTCACCTGCGCTGCAGCTCAAGCCAGGTCTGAGCTCGTTCCGCGAAAACGCCAAGGGAGCGGCGGACTCGCTCCGTCCGCTCATCGACAAGGCGCTCACCGTCGTCCCCGAGGAAGTCCGCTCCACCACGCCCATCCGCGTCGGAGTGAGTCTCGTTATTGGAAATGCGGTGCACCGCACAGTGTGTGCGTGACAAAGCGAGCTCCGAAAATCTTATACTTTCTTTTGATTACGTGATTCGTTGTGCTCGAGCTTCGTTCTGAGATCTCAGGCCAGTCTGTCGTATTGTCTTGCTGAGAAATACTGACATGCAATTTGTTTCCCCTGTTCAGGCAACGGCTGGTCTGCGCCTTCTCCCTGGCGACCTCGCTGACAACATTCTCCAAGCCGTAAGCTTATTATTTTACGACCCGCCATTGGTTCTCGCTCATCTCCCTCCTTCGACACTGTTCAATTGCGTCGAATCTCTTGACCATCCCGTCCCATGAGCCCTAACAGTCCCAGCTGTTTGCTTCGTCTCTAGTCCTGAAGATTTCCTCTTCACGCGTCTGACTCGCCGTCTCGCGCTCTCAAATCTCTCGCTCTCCTCAGGTCCGGGAGATGCTCAAGGAGTACCCCTTCACCTTCGCTGCCGATTCCGTCAAGATCCTCGATGGCGCCGATGAGGGCTCCTTTGCATGGGTGAGTAGTGCCACGGTTTCGTTCTTCACGCGCCCAGGGGGATCGTTACAAGCAGCCGCCTTTCCCTCCGTTGTAAAAATATTTCCCTTCTAAGGGAAATCTCAGCCGAGGCTTTCGCTTGGCAATTCCCTCCCCGAATTCCCATCCAGATCTACAAAGCCACAGTAACTTCGCGATTCAAATGCTCAGGTAACTGTGTGAGCTATTTGTCTGTGCGGCCTCGGCGAGGACACCCGCCACACGGGGGAATTGGATCTGGTTAATAAGAATCGGATCCAGTATCCTCCGTGTCTCTCAACCCGCCATTCAGTGGCGGTGAGTTACCTCCTGGGCAATCGTGGTGGAGACATTCCCCACACGTTGGGATGGTGGATTTGGAGATCTGAAGTCTGATTCGCTATCCTCCCATTCATATCCTTGCTCCCTGCAGGTGACGGTGAATTACCTCCTGGGCAATCTCGGCAAGGACATCAGCCACATGGTGGGGGTGGTGGATCTGGAAATCCATGGTCTGACTTTCACTATCTTACCATCCTCCCATTCACATCATTTCGCCCTGCAGGTGACGGTGAACTATCTCCTTGGCAATCTCGGCAAGGACATCAGCCACACGGTGGGGGTCGTGGATCTGGGCGGCGGGTCTGTGCAGATGACGTACGCGGTGCCTGATGACGTGGCAGCGAAGGCGCCCGAGGGCTACGTTCGGAGGCTGAGCGGAATGGGCAAGACGTATGGGGTGTACGTGCACAGGTGAGAACGAAAAGGGTTTTTGAGGATGGACGAGACGTGGGTGGTCCATATGCATAGGTGAGGACAGAGAGGGTTTTTGACGATGGGCAAGACGTGCGTGGTCAAGGTGCACAGGTCAGGGCAAAGTGGGAACAACAGGTCTTTCAAGATGGCTGACAATGTGGCTTTGAAGGATTGAAAGAAAAGTTCACAGATAAATCCGGGCAAGACTACGAGGTCTCTGGGAACATGTGAGGGCAGAGATGGTCTTAGCAAACAGTTGGCTGATCAAAGCCACGCCTCGCAATGTGTTGAGCCGTATTGGTCTGGGCAAGTGTGGTTGAGTGCTTTTAGGTCTCGCTATACAAATCAGAGGGCAGCAGCAGTGTGGTAAGCATGCGCAGCTCAGTGCGGGAAAAACTTAGCCGTCTCCCCTTGTATCCATCCATGCTCCATTGTTGCAAGCGCTATGTGCCATCCCATCCCCTCCCATCCCTCAATGAACCCTCTCAGCTACCTGGGCTTCGTACGGACTGATGGCAGCGCGCGCTCAGGTCCTCAAGGCAAAGAACTTAGCCTTTCTCCCCTTGTCTTCATCCGTGCTGTGTGGTATCCCTCCCCCCACCCCATTCCTTGATGAACCCCCAGCTACCTGGGCTTTGGACTGATGGCAGCACGCGCTCAGGTGCTCAAGGCGAAGCCTCCAGGCAGCGAGGGGCATGCATGCTTGCCCAAGGGCACTGACGGTGAGTGGTGGGGAAGAGTCAGAGAGGTGGTGGAGCGAGAACGCAAACGAGTACCTTTTTTTCTTCAGAACTATCAACAAGCAAATGTTTTGTTGTGAAAAGAATCACTTATTTTGAGAGGTGGAACGGATACAGAGAGCCAGTTGTGGCGAAGAAGCAAGTGGGAGCGTGTGAGGGACACGCCTGCTCAGTGGCAGTGACAGCAGTGGCGATGAGCGATGCGGGGTGAGGTAGAGAGAAGCGTGTGGGATGTATGCACATCTGGTGGCGTGCCTTCTCACTGGTGGTGATGGTCAGTGGTGAGGCAGCAAGAGGATAGTGATATGTATATGCAAGCATAGGTAGGGGGGGGCATGTGTGCCCCCTCTTATGGCTAAAGATGGTGCGTGGTGAGCAGCAGGAATTGGAGAGATTATTCGTGTGATGATTAAGGTACCAGGGGCCAATTGTGACAAGTGCAAGCAAGGTGACTGTGAGGCATGCTCATGTGCCAAACAGCTCTGGCGTTGATTGGTGGGGCACAGCAGGAGGAAGGAGCGTCTCTGGAGCTGCAGGTGGTGTAAACAGTTTGGCAGCATGAACCAGATAACGAGATGGGAGTACTATGAAAGAGTGTATAGCCCCTTATCCTTCCAACCAAACCCCCCCATCAGACAAGTATGTGTACGGCACAGAGGAGGTCAAGGCACATGCGCTGCCAGCAGTAGGGAGTGAAAAGAGTGGGTAATATCTCTCGTAGTATCTCTGCTTGTGTCCCCTTTAACACTTTCACCCCCTCCTCCTCCTCATCACCCCCAACCCACATACCCTACCCACAAACCCACGACCAGACAAGTACGTGTACGGCACAGAGGAGGTCAAGGCACAGGCGTTGCCAGCAGGAAGGATTGCCAAAGAGTGTGTACTCTCTCTGTTCCTCGAAACCGTTTCCCACCCCCCTCAAACCCTCCCACCAGACAAGTACCTGTACTGTACGGCACAGAGGAGGTCCAGGCGCGGCGCTGCCGACAGGAGTGAGAGCAGCGAAGTGTGCGCTGCTGGCTGCGAAGGCTTTGGAGCTGGGAGGGGCCCTTGTTAGTGACGCTGCACCAGTCTCTATTCCTCACAACCGTTTCCCACCCCTCTTCAAACCCACTCACCAGACAAGTACGTGTATGGCACAGAAGAAGTCCAGGCCCAGGCGCTGCCGACAGGAGGGAGTGCCAAGAGTGTGCGCTGCCTCTGCTCTATTCCTCACAACGCTTTCCCATCCCCCCATTCTTTGCCATACCCTTCCACCAGACAAGTACGTGTACGGCACAGAGGAGGTCCAGGCACAGGCGCTGCCGACAGGGGGGAGTGCAGCGGAGTGTGCACTGCTGGCAGCAAAGGCGTTGGAACTGGGAGGGGCTCTTGCAGGCGATGCAGCTCCTGCATGCTCTTTCGAGGAATGCACGTTCGGAGGGGTGTGGAGTGGGGGCCGCGGTCAGGGCGCGTCCAAGCTCTTCATTGCTTCCTACTTCTTCGACCGGGCTGGCCAGGTAAGCTGCTGCAGGTGATGCAGCGCTGTCATGCTCTTGTGAATAGAGCACGTTCGGAGGGGTGTGGAGTGGTGGTCGAGGCGAGGGCGCATCCAATTTCTTCATTGCTTCATACTTCTCTGACCGGGCTGGCCAGGTGAATCAACTCAAAAATACTTTCAGAAGAAGGAGAAGAAAAATAAAGCTGAAAGCTCAATGTCGTCTCACACTTCTTTGACCGGGCGGGTGGCCCAGGTAAGTTGCACCAAGTCGCCTGCTTCTTAAAGCTCCAGTATACATTTGTCAGCGGGGTTTAGGGGTTGTATAGTGCGCCTCACAGTCTTGGGGCAAGTTTTCAAGTTCCTAAGGATTTTGAACCCCAGCTTTCAAATGTATACCGGAGCTTTAATGTCTTTGTCCAAGCAGGCCAGGCAAGGGAATTTGGGATGCACAACTTGGACAGAGTGATAGCTTGCCCCTCTCTTCTCACTGCTTGTGAATGAGCATGCACCTGATGGATGGTGTGAGCTGATTGTCATTGCCCTCTGTGTTACCCTATTCCGATGTGCTATCAGCGCCTGTGCCACATATTGCCTCAATCCCCTGTTTTCCAACTTTCCGTCCACATTTCCCCGCCCTGTGCCTTGGCACAATTTCCTGCGTTCCCCTTCCTCCCCCCTCCGTTCCCTCGCTCCCCCCTGCAGCTTGGTGTTATTCCCGACCCCAAGGCGTCATCAGCTCCTGTCAAGGCTAAGGACTTTGCCACTGCAGCTGAGGCTGCCTGTGCCACACCCTTGGAGGAAGTCACAAAGAAGTTCCCTGGAGTGGAGGGCAAGGACGCGCCGTACATGTGCTTGGACGTGGTGTACCAGCACAAGCTGCTCACTCATGGCTTCAGTAAGCATTACATAGATTTCGTAAACATTCATTCTATGTTATCTTATACTGCTTCATTCTTTAGCTTTTGCCACTGCTGGCATATAATCCTGATTCCTGAATCTTTTGTTGGCTCTGTTTCAGGGATTGATGATTCGGCAGAACTTACGTTGGTGAAGCAGGTCACTTACAAGGGCAAAGATGTGGAGGCAGCTTGGCCACTTGGTGCTGCCATTGATGCAATTTCGTCTTAGAGCAGTCTTTTATTCAATGTGTGCTAAGGCTTGATTGAATGCTGGAAATTGTGCTAGTAGTGAAGTTTCACCCCCCAAGGTTTGTAATACATAGTTCAGGTGTAGTTCTGTAGGTTTGCTGGCTTTCCTCGTTTACTTTTGTTCTCAACAAAGTTGAGCTGTCGCACACATGGGGACAATCCACATCCAGACAACACACGGTTGCGATGTCGTAAAGGCCGACCTCGCGAACTTTCATAAATTCGTGAATGGTTAATTGGCTGACGAGGGCTTCGGATAGCGTCGCAGATTTTCGTGTTGGCGCCTACCGCGATCTGGCGATCTGAAGTTGCTTTGAGATTGGGATCTTAGGTGATCGTGAGAAGTCGTCGAAAGTCGTATGGCGCTCGTTAGTTTCGAAGCTCCTTGCTTCTGTACATTGGGATGGAATGCGGCCTTGATTGGCCGTGTCAGAGGTGGTAGCCTTGGACCACAAAATATTGTGGTCAGCTTTGGAGCTGCCAGCTGCAAGCACACTGCCGAAAAAAGTGTCAACTTTGCTTTGCACTTTGTCATCGACCACGTGGACTCGGCAGATCTTTTGTAAGAACAGTTGGATAGTGTCGGTTATTCGCTGTAATGTGTGCCGTGCTGTCGGAAGATCCTCTCACTTGCTTCACCACTTGTGCCCCGGCCTCTTTGGAAACCCGCTTACGTGGAATCGTTTGACACCCGTCGAAGTTTCAGAGGCCTCTTTAATTACCACAAATTTCGACAGACCGTCCAAGGATAACGTAAAGTCCGGGTCAAAGAAGATAGGACTCTGCTTTGCTTTTGTGGCTCGGAGGAGTACATCAGATGACTTGGGGTGGGGTCTGCTTTGTTGTCGTGCAATCCTCTGCGATTGTTAGGGTCTTTTTGAAGACCTATGTTGCTGCGACCTACAGTATTTGGAGCGCGAAAGCGACGTCTACCTGGACCCATCGTGTGATAGCCCGCTGCTTGCGCCGAAAGTACAGGTGGACTTTGCTCATTTGCGATGTTTTACGCGGAGGGGGCGCGCTGACCTGTCACACACTGTTGGAAGGCGTTTCACACGCTGGAATTTTCAATCTCCTCGCGGAGGGGTTACGGGGAGAGGGAGCAGTGAATGGAAGACCCTTCAACACAACCAAACTAGGCACAGAAATTTCGGCACAAACGTTTCTTCTTATTTTAGACCCCAATCGTGCACCACTTCGTTACAGACAATACTTCTACACCATCTTACTAAGAACCAGGTTTCAAATGTGCCGTTTCCTTCCCTGATTTTCAGAATGCCCGGCTTCAGGAGCGCGCATAAGCGGAAGTAAATACGTCAGCAGACTCAGCACGAAGACTATTCTTCGCAAACCCACCACAACATGCTTCCACGAACCGCCCCTGCGTGTGCCGTGGTACCCTGTGATAGGTCCACGCGGTCGGCCATACGACAGCGACGCGAAATACCTCATCTTGTCGTCGCATGTACGAGTTTCTTCCCCAGCCTCCCCTTCCTAGCGAAACACCCTCACTCGCTCACAAAAATGCCCCCACTCATTGTGATGACGACTCAGTGTCGCGTTCCCTTTCGCTTTACGCTTTATGCCCAAGCCCTGAAGTCGGTTAGGTGCAGTGGTCGTCCTCCACCAGCTCTCGTCTACATCTGGCTCCGATTCAAAAGCCTTGGCACATTGCTCCTACTCGTTCATTGCGAGAGTTTAGCGCCATCTCAAAACCCTTTCCTGCGGTCTTCGTTCTAAAAAGGCTTCTATCCTCCAGAGGCATTTTTTTTTCTCTTCACCGCGCCGCAGCTTTAAACTCTTATGTTTTCAGACGCTTCTGGAGAGCATTCTTACACGACAAATCAGAAATAAACTCTGAATCCCCTTCCGATTTCGCATCACAATGGAGACACCTGGTATCGCAGCTTGCAACCAAGCATCAGCCACTACTAACAGCAATGCTGCCACTGGCGGGACTCGGCGCTCTTGCGATGTGCTAGAGCCCTCTTTGTCGACTTCCGGCAATGCGACCAAGCGGCTACGACACTCCTACACGCAGAGTGCAATCCCAGCCCCAAGGCTTCTTCTTTCTGAATCTACGGAATTGGCTCAAGTTCGTCCGAACAGCGCTACGGCAGAAACGCCTTCATTAATAAGCTCTAATCTTCATGTGCCTCCAGTCTTCCCGGAGCTTCAAAGACGGCTCGAAGAATCGTTTGATATGGATTCCGACATTCTAGGCGCCGGTCAATTCGGCACGGTTCGACGGTGCGTTTGCAAAGAGACGGGTCAAGCTTTCGCGTGCAAGACGATTTTGAAGTCTCGGCTTCTCGACCAGTTCGTGAGAGATGAGGTGAAGATGGAGGTGCTGCTTATGCAACATCGGTTGAATCGGCTTCATTCTTCGGCCAACGCACCCTCAGCGGCCAACACGAGCGCTGGTTGCGATGATAAAAAATTGGCGAGTGCTCGACCAACGGAAGACCTGACGATGCGCGTGGCGCAATCCTCGTCTGGTGCTGCAGCAACCAGAGCAGCAACACATCCGGCGATAGTGCAGCTCCATTCGGTCTTCGAGGACGATGCGGGAGTTCACCTCGTCATGGATTTGTGCGACTCTGGCGATTTATACGACGAAGTCGTGCGACGGGGAAGGATACCCGAAAAGGAGTCGGCGCTTTTGTTCCGACAAATCGCTTCAGCTCTCGCGTTTTGCCACTCAAGGGGTGTGATGCATCGCGACATGAAACCAGAAAATATTTTGCTCCATAAGCAAGGAGACGCTTCTAACCGGCTAACTGTGAAGCTTGCCGATTTCGGACTCGCGATTCCGCTTTCAGCCGGCGAAACTTCTCGTGGAATTTCCGGTTCGACGTTTTACATGGCGCCTGAGGTGCTCTCTGGGGAGTACGGTCATTCTGCCGATGTATGGTCGCTTGGAGTTCTTCTTTTCACAATGTTAAGCGGGACCGTTCCTTTTGTCGGGGCTGACAATAGCGAGTCCACGGAGGCCGTCCTGAATGGACTTTTGGATTTCTCCTCACCGGAATGGGCGACGATTTCAGTTGAGGCGAAAGGGTTGATTCGCTGCATGCTACATCGGGATCCCCGGCGACGCCCTACCGCTGCGAAAGTATTATCCCATCCGTGGGTGCTGCTGAACGTTTTTGGCGGGAGAATTGTTCGGAGAACCGTTGCTCGTCCCCTTGAAAATGCCGTCAATACTCGGGAGAACAAGCCCAATGTCGATGCTCAAGGCCTGCTGCAACAACACCACTCTCGGGAAGGACACCTTTCTAGTACCGTAGCTGGTGTCTAGAGGAACAGCAGCGCACAGTCCCAGATGCTTCCCAGGAGCATCTTCATGGGCTCGTAAGTATGGTCCTGCCTGGGGATTGCGTGAGAACCTCTGCCTGATTATGTACACGTATTGTTCAATGGCTATACTTATCTGTACATTATACTAACTTCTATAGAACCTACACATCCCAACAAACCTGTACTTAGAAACATGCCCCCAGAACTGCATTAGGCTCCTCAAGTTTCAAGGCCTTTCTCCTAAATCACCCAATTCCACGCTTGCATTGCATGTAAAAGCAGGAACTGTAAATTGTATAGGACATATATTTGTTGATATAGGGATCTAAATGTCAAGCAAGGATTCCAAGTAAGAAGTTGCCTTTTCTAGACGCAAAAAAAATACACTTTAATGCGCACAATACGTCAGAAACCGTTTTAACAGGTGGCTTGATTTTATGGTCCATGTGGGGATGGTGTATAACCTGTATATGTTTCAGAATGTACTAGAAGAAACACGTGATGTTGAGGAATCGGTTTATTGCATTAAATTATGCGTTCTGTCAGGACCCAGAAATATCAGACGTTCTGTTGAGATCTCGATGACACGTGAGCAACACCGTCCCAGATGTGTGCTTGATACCAAAACTTTTTCGTTGGTCCCAACATCTTTGGAGCGTGTTTTTTCGGATTGGTTAGCTTGGTCGCGGATTACTTTCCGCCACTCTTGTCCTGACCGCCATTTCGTTGAACGCGGCCCGTCTCCAAAACTTTGAAGCTGGTTGGACGGTCACGAGATGGGCAGAACATGCAGAATTGGCGGAAGATCCTTGGTAGCACGAGCTCATAATTGCAAAAGCACCAATAGCGCAGAAAATCTATGCGCTGGCGTTGTACGTGTTATTATATCGAGGGGGAAGGGGCAGTCGAACTAACTCTTGTCGAAATTTTGCTTGCCCTGCCCCGGTTTGGTCCTTGTCGTCCCTGCAATGCAGTCTCCACCGTCAACTGAGATCCTTCTTGAGGCTTCGCGGAGGGCCCTCCCTCGTAGCTCCTCACCTCCTTCTAAAATCCCCTGTTTTTCTTTTCCCCACACCTGGACCCCCCAACTCCCCGCGCTTCTTTTTCCTTCCGCTGGTTGCATGCCGCCTCCTCCCCCTTCGTTTTGCCTCGTCTTCCCCCAACGCTCCCCCTTCAGAACTCCACCCTCTCCGCCTCACCATACTCCCAACACCCACGCCTTCCTCCTTCGAGCCCATTGGCTCTTGATGGTCCTGCTAGTTATCATCGGAGCCGTTCATCCTCATCGCCCTCGGGATCTACTCAACCATGGTAATCCCTATGCCTTGTCCAGTATTTCTTTGTATTCAGCTCCACATATTTTATTATCTCGTCACATCTCTGTGGTTTAACTTTCTTGAACGGCTTCAGTGCTCGAGAGTCCAGAGGTTTTCTCCAGTAGCGCCTTGAGTAAGTCGAGGCTTAAGAATTTAACACTCGCAGTTGAAATCAAGTCGACCACCCTTAGCTTTTTCTAGTAAGCGCGTACCTCCTCCACAACCTCTGTTTTGACGAACGACACCATGTCGAAGCCTGTCGCCATGGGTAGCCTTCGCGCTGCCAGTCGCGACGGCATGTCTTTCACGTCCTTCTTATCTCACCTAAAGCTTCGGCCTTCAACGTACCGCGGCTCGACTTCCGTATCTTTCCGCGTCGGTCCGTCCATCCGCGCCGTTCTGGACAAACCTTCGAGCAATACCAGCGGTGGAAGCAGCAGCGGCAGCACCAGCGGCAATGGCAGCGGGAGCCGCTTCACGCGAAGCGGTACCGGCCAAGATTCCTTGGATATCGCTCGCGCCGCATTGGAACGGCTATTCTCGCAGAACTACCGCCAAGATCACAGGACCGAGGTGGATTCCACGAGGTTTCTTGAAGACGCGATTGCTCAGCTCGAAATGGATCTTTCTACGGTCTTCGAGGCCATGCGCGAGAAAGAGGAGGAGCTTGCAGAGGCTGAGCAACGGCTGCTGTTCGACCGGGATAACCTCGAGACGGCACGCGAGCTCATCCAGGAGCGTGAGGCTCGTCTTGCTGAAAACCAGACGTCTCAGTTGTCTTTACGGGAAGACGCGGAGAAGATCCGTTCGAAGCTGGCGGAACAGACGGAGGAGCTGGTAGCGGCTCGCATGGAAGTCGACTTGAGGAATAAGGAGATTCGCGAGGCCAAAGAGGGGTTGGGTAAGAAGGAAGAGGAGATCACTCGGGCTCATTCGGCGATTCGAGCAAGGAATGAGAAGTTGAGGCTTGCCGAAGCTCAGCTTCAGGCTCAGGAGAGCCAGCTTGTAGCTTCGAGAGCGGAGGTTCGGCAATTGCGGTTGGATCTGAGATCTGCGGTTGCCGAAAAGAAACGGTTGCAGGAGGAGCTGGAGGATTCGCACAAGGAGCTGCGTCGGCAGGAGGGTAAACTGACCGCTATGGAATCAGATTTGGAGAAAAGAAGCGGCATTGTGACAGCTGCGCAGAAGGAGATTAAGATTCTTCAGAAGCATCTGCAGAACTCCGGAGTAACGGGAGAGGCTGCGTCCCGCGAGCTCGCTCAAGCCAAGTCAATGATTGGTGCGGTGAAGGCCGAGTTGAAGGTGTCGAACGAAGCTCTGAGCAAATTCCGTTCCGAGGTTCATGAGCTGAAAGCCGCCGTCTCGAGACAGGAACGCGAGGCGACCAACGCGTCGATGCTTTTGAAGAAGCGGGAACGGGAGCTCGAACGAGCGAATGCGGAACTCGCAAAGGAGAAGGCGACGTTGCAAGCAGTCCGCGCCGCGGTTCTGGATCTCGAGACTAAGTTAAAGCACGAGATGGACGCTTGCGAATCGCTCGCGACGGAGGTACGGGACGCGCGGTCGAAGCTTCGATCAGCCATGTCTGAAGCTTCCGAGCTCCGTAAATCCGTCCGGCAGGCGGAGTCAGAACTATCAGACGCCAATATCTCCCTCCAGCTTAAAGAAGCAGAACTCGTGGGGCTCCGCCTGGACCTGCAAGAAACTGCATCGGATCTGTCTATAGCGAAGCAGGACCTCACATCCCGGTCAGAGGAGCTCGACGTCGCGGCAAGCGCGCTAGAGGGTCTTCGCCGGGAGCTGGCAGCAGTGAAGCTGGAGCTTCAAGTTAAAGATGAGAGAGTCGCGGCGTCGGATAAGGCTTTGGAGATGCGGGAGGAGACGATTGGAGCGATGGAGGTGAAGCTGGAAGGCAGCAACGCGCGCCTGGCGGCGGCGGAGACTGTAGTGGAGCAGATTGCGGAGCTCTCGCGCAAGCTCGCGGATTCCGCGCTCGCCGCCGGGGGGTTCGACATGGGGGTGCTGCCGTCCGGGAGAGCGGTGCATAGCGGTGGTGTGGGGTCGGGAGGGTTGAGAGGCGGGAAGATGCTGGTGGGGGAGAGCGTGCTGCTGGCGGAAACGAACCGTGAGCTGTTTGCGGCGAGCCGAGCCCTGCTGGAAAAGGAGCATGGGATGCAGCTGCTGCAGGTAGGCCGTGCCGAGAACTTTCGTCCTTAATCGCCCCGACCTGCTGCTTTCTCTACTCCAAATCTCCCCACCCCAAAATTTCCCACCCCCTTCACTTCCTCTGCTTGCTCCCCATCTCTCCGTCTTTCTTTGTCTCTCTCTCGCGCAGCCCCCTCTACCCGCCCTCCTTGGCCTTTTCGTCTCTCATTGCCTCATTTTCTTGCATTCTTATCCATCCCTTGGCCACCGTCTCATCCCAAGCAGGAGCAAGAGCAAGAACAGAGGGCGGAGAACGAGCGACTATTGGAGCAGCTCCGGGCAGTAAGGGCGGCGCTGGGGGAGAAGCAAACCGAGCTAGACTCCGTGAAATCGCTCCTAGCCGAGCGCGAGGAGGAGATCCGGCAGCTGACGGCGCGGTGGGAGGAACGGGAAGCTGCGCTGACGGCCATGCGCGCGGAGGTGATCAGCGGAGCCAGGGAGATTGCACAGCTGCGGGACGTGATCAAATCCGCGTCCTCGCGCCAGGCAGGGCAGGGCGAGGGGGCAGAGAAGGAGTCGCAGGCGGATCTGGTGGCGCATGAAGTGGTGAAGCTGGAACTCGAGGTGAGCTCACTTTAACCATGCTACGGCCTGCCTGAACGCCCTCTGTCCCGTGAGCGCCCTCTGTCCCCTCCTGACACCTCCCACGGCTTTGTTTAGCGTGACTACCCACCCACTGCCCTTGTTCTCAACCATTTCCCATCTGCCTCCCTCCCGTTCCTCCCCATCCCGTCCCCCTGTGGTGTCCAGGTGGCGAAGGTGGAGGTTGAAACAGCAATGTCAGCCCTGCAGGGCTTGGCCGATCTGAGCGCACAGCTGAAGGCAGACGCAGACGACCGCATGCTGCTGCTGCCCGCATCCTCACTCGGTTCTGCCACGGCCTCCGCCAGTCAACTACACTCTCGTCTCGCTCTGGCCTCTGCTGATGTTGTCAGAGCAGCGGGGAGTGCTGCCTCCCAAATGGGGGGAGAGGAGGAGGAGGAGCAGCAGCGGGTGCAATTGCAGCAACAGAAGGAGCAGGAAGAGCGGAGGCAGAGGGAGGAGGAGGAGGAGGCACGGATGCAGCAGCAGTTGCAGGAGAGGGACAATGCGCTGCGCATGGCAGTGCGTGCCATGTCCAACCTCACACGTCTCACACAGAAGCTAGCAGCTGACGCACAGGCGGAGTTCTCAGGAGAAGAGCCGGTGCTGCAGATGTAGGCACAATCGCTGGAGGCCGGTGCTGCAGTGGTGCTGGGATCATGGGGGATGGTCTTGCATGCTTGTGCTGCCTGTATGTTATGGTGAGAGTGGTGCATGGTGTATGTTGCTCCACTTCAGCTGTCCTGCACTGAGTGTTGCATGTGTTGGATTCTGCTGGCAGTGCATGCATTGAGTACTGAGCACGTTGGGGAACTGAAACTGCATAACTGTGCAGCTGGTTGTGCGCATGCTTGCTGTTGGGGCTCTGGCATGCTAATACAGTATGTTATACTCTCTTCGTTAGGAGGCTAGAGGACCGGGTTGGTGTCAGACTACTTGTGTTGACGTAGTATAGGCACAGAACCTGTATTGTACATGCTGCTTTCATTTATTGCTTCACATGTGAAGAACAATTTGGATCGAACTAAGATTGAAGTGCATGAATGCACAGCATTTACACCCTCTGATACGCCCTTACATGGACACTGATCAACCAGCATGACTCTCTGCACCACCAGGCCTTATCTAAGCAGCTGAACCTTTTGGATACACTAGACCGTAGAGCATGGCTTTCTTGATGGCATTCTGCAGCTTTGCCTGGTCCACCACAGGCTTATGCACAGCACCATTTAGTCCAATAGTAGCTGCTTCCTCTGGATCTCCGATTTCCAGGAAATATTTCTCCAGCCCGCCCGGCATACAGACCACCAGCATTCGGGCAGGTTGGTCGGAGTCGTTGCGGAAAGAATGTGCCCGGCCAAGAGGCATGTGCATGAAGCTGCCCTGGCTGGCTTGGTACGTCCTGCGGGGGTGGAGTGTGCAAAATAGATTGGTGAGAATGGCGAGGATGGGAATACGGTGAGGAGGACGGTGTAAATGGGGACATGGCGAAAACGGGACGCGATAACAAGTGGAATATTGGAACTTGAAGTAATGAGCCCAAGCAACCCCTCAACTCACTTGCCACAATATCAGACCCCAGCACAGCGTATCACAGCATATCACACATATCACCGCATACTACAGAATACGTGTAAAGAACCACCCCCCTTCTCCACCCCATTCCCCCCCTCAAACCCCCCCTCTCCCCTCCCCCCCCTCTCCCACCCCCCCTGCTCCTTGCGCTTTTGCTCGCCAAAGTCCCTGCTTCCGTAGCCAATGCCAGGCCTAGCGCCCATGTCACATGCTCATACAACTCACTTTTTTTCGATGGTCCACGTCATCTGCCCGTCCAGCAAAAACCACGCCTCGTGCTCCCGAGTGTGAATGTGCTCCTCCGACCCTTCCCCTGCCGGAACCTCATACTCAATCACGCTATAGGACCCCCCAGTCTGCTCCGCTTCGGCTTTAATCCTCACTCTCATCCCCATCGCGTTCACCACCTTCCCGCCGCCCGCGCCGACCAATCCTGTCGCGGCGTGCGGACAGCTGGCGGTTTTGTCCGATTCTGGAGCTGTGGCGGTGCCGGTTTCGACGTCCGTGTTTGCGGCAGGTACGGGTTCAGGTTCGGGTTCTGCCAGCCTGGCAGAGTCCAGCCTATCCATAGGTGCCACGTGTGCAAGGTTTCCCAGCAACCCTTCCGTGCTTCCAACCTCCACATTAGTAGGTTTACCTAGACTCACATACCCCTTCCCATCCAAATCATCTACCCACACCGCCCCTTCCCCTCGCCCCCCATTCCCCCCTGGTTCTCCCCCGTTGCCATCCCTCCCCGCCCCTTCCCGCTTTTCCACCACTTCCGCCTCCCCATTTCCCCCACGCGCGCCCGCCCCCTGCATGTCTCCGCGTACTGCCCCGATATGTTCCGCCATGCTGCGTTGGGATTGAAGGCTGGGCGCGGATTCCACCTCTAACGCGCGACTTTTCCCCCCCAAAGCCTCCCCCACTTCCCCCGATTCCCCTCCGCCTTCGAGCACCTCCGCCATGCGCCCCTTCCCTCCCCCTGTGCTCCCGTCGTCTTTCACATCTGTGTCCCTTAAATCGCTGCGCCCACCAGAATTAAACGAAGCAGAGGGCTGTCCATCGCGGCGCCCTGCCACGTGGCGGGTGCTGGTATGCTGGCCCGTTCCCGGCCAGAGCGACGCGGCTGCAGCTGACGTGGCAGTCGCTGCCACGTGGATGTAACGCGACTCCAGCACCTCCTCCACTCCCCCGTCCATCATGTAATGCGCCGTGTATTCCGCCGTGGAAACCGCCGCCCTTTCGAGAACCATCCCTTCCCCGTGAGTGGGCAACAGCGATGGGGAGGGGGAGAGGGACGGGGACAGGGGCGCGGTGGGGGAAGCGGGGGGCGGAAGGGTTCCGGGGGCGCTGCTCACGGCGGAAATCGAAAATTGGCGGAAGCGGAAACGGAACGGAAGTACATGGCGCACAGGCGGAAGCAGCTGCAGAGACTCCCGCGGGTTTCGCGGAAAGCTGTAAAGTGCGGTACGGGGGTCAGCAGAAGGGACGGTTCCTCCCACGACCTGCAATTTCCAAAATTCCGTACGTTAATCAGGAAAGTCATGCGCTTGCACAAAATATAAGGGGCATATACAGAATAATACATGTACAAAGCGAAGCGACGGTGGCGTGCCTTATTATGGAGTCGCGAAACCCCCCGTGATGCTCGGTGCGCCAAGGCGCAGTAGCGGGCCGCCATGGCGTGGTGTGGAACCAACAATTGGAGGGCTTGGAGACACGAAGGGACAATTCCTTCTAGAAGTTAACAATGGGAAAAGAATAACCCCAAAAGCACCTTCGAGGGCACAACACGTCTAGATTTGACGAGAGCCTCTCACGCGAACTCCTCAAGACAACTCTTGCTTCTTTTGCCGCTAATAGAATTTTAGCGAATGCCCTGCTCGTCCTATCTCGTCGCTGCTTGCAAGGGTGCTAAACTCCCTGTGAGGAGCTAGACGCGGTTACTCTCGCCCCTTATTGAAAGCTAGGCGACTTCTCTCGGCCTTTATTGAAAAGCTATGCGATTCCTCTCGCCCCTTGTGAGCGTGAGAAGTGCAAGCACGAGAGACGAGAGGAAAAACGCTGGAGCGTAGTTACTTACTACGGCACGAGAAAATGTGGGCGAAGGAAGTGGATGTGTGGGAAAGGCCAGAAACATATGCGAGCAAAACGCGCTACACCAGGCAATGGTGCCCGTCAGCTCGTCACGAGTCACGATTCACCTCACCACCATCCCGCCAAAATACCCCGCCAGTCCGATTCCGAATCGTCGAGACATGCGGCGGGTAGTTTAGTCGCATTTCCTGCGCCACGCCATGCGGTGTGCGGGCGGCGGGGCTTCTGACGTCGATTGGCAATCGTACGGTTCACATTTATTCGAGATCCTCCAACGATCCAATTCCAAGCATCTTTATACGGGGGGGGGGAAGAGTCGGAAAGGTCAGACAGATCGTTTCCTCCATGTAAAACGAGATTCTAGGCTTTTCCTGTAGGTTGTCTTTGGTGACAACATGGTTCGATATCTTACCAGTCATCCCCACCCGTGCTGGCGCACATATTCAGATCGATGACGCAATGCATGCGTGCAGCGATCCATCCAGCGTGGTTTCTGCTGTGAATGACGTGTGGAACGCATGTCACTCGCCAAATCAGAAAAAAAAGCTGTGCCGTGAGGGGAACTTGATGGACCGCGTTAGAAAATAGTCCACACACACATACAAGAGCCTACTCCGATTTGTTAGTCTCAATATTACGCGCGATTGTGCATATTGACTGACCAATTACAGCTAACTATATGCCATGCCACTGAGCAATTGATATTGCCAGCAATTCCAGGTTTTATACCTCATTCTGTGTAGTATATATAGCACCCATTGTCGTCTGAACCGAATCATAAGGCTTTGATCGCCAGTTTGACATTCTCTTTACAAACCCTTGGTGTCATTTACGATAGCATAGTGCATAGTGCTGTCGATAGCATAGTGCGAGACGTGAAGAACACTGACATTATTTCCAAAATACAAACAAACACTCACAAAGAAGCACTATACAGACACGTATATAGAACAAAAACAAGCACAAGGTAACACTATACAAGCACAAAACTTATTCACAACCCTACCACCAAGGTTCTGCAAAATTCCACCGTTGGAATCAGACCCTTAGGGGTAACCCGAACCATACGGTATCCTGGAGCATATCCTGGAGCATATTCTGGAGCATATCCTGGAGCGTATCCTGGAGCGTATCCTGGAGCGTATCCTGGAGCGTATCCTGGAGCGTAGCCTGGAGCGTAGCCTGGAGCGTAGCCTGGAGCGTAGCCTGGAGCGTATCCTGGAGCGTATCCTGGAGCGTATCCTGGAGCGTATCCTGGAGCATATCCTGGGCCAGTTTTGAGGTGTCTCAACCCCGGAACTAGGCCCTGCAGGATTCCACCACTGGAATCAGACCCTTAGGGGTAACCCGGACCATATCCTGGACCAGTTCTGAGACGTCTCAGATCCAGCACTAAGGCCCTGAAGGCCCTGCAGTACCATATCTCGACTATATATACGGCCAAACTTATTTTTAAGTCGACTCAAAACTACTAAGGCCCAGAAGGCCCTGCAGTACCATACCCTGGACTATATCTACGGCCAAACAACTTGATGCTCAACTTGGCAGCCTGGCCACCTGCCACGGTCCCATTGCCAGCTGTCAGCGTACTATTCGCAAAAGCACCGCTCGCAGCACCAGCCTCAACCTTGGCAAAGACGAGAGCAGAGTAAGCGTCAGGAGCAGCCAGCATGGCATCCAAGAGCTCCTTGTACGTCTGCCCGTTATCCGCCTTTAAAGTACTAGCGCTTAGCCAAGTGCCGTTTGTTCCGTAGGTGTAGCCGAGGGGAGGGAGGGGGGGTAGCTTGGCCAGCTTGGCTGCTTCTTCGGCTTTAAGGATTTGGCATCGGTCGTAGGTAAAAGGGCAGGGTTTGCTGGAGGACGTTCGTTCGGCGATCAGCTTGGTGCGCTCGGCGTCCGAGACCGTGAGATTGGTCCACGTGGCGCTGCTGGTGGCCACGGTGAGTGCCACGTCAGCGCCTTTCATGATGACGACGCGGGTGGGCTCGCCGGGGTTGGTGAGAAGCACGTCAATGCTGTAGGTAATGTCGTAGTCGTTGGTTGCGGCATTGCTGAGGGGGGGAAGGGTGGCAAGGAGGGGCGGGGAGGGGCAGGGAGGGGCGAGACATAGGCAGAGGATGAGGGTTGGTTAGACTCACCGCGATGCCGTAAATAACGTCATAGTCGTTGGTTGTGGTATTGCTGAGGGGTTGGGGGACAAGAAGGGGCAGGGATGGGCAGGGAGGGGCAGGGAGGGGCAGGGAGGGGCAGGGAGGGGCAGGGAGGGGCAGGGAGGGGCAGAGAGATGAGCCTGAGTGTGGGAATGTGCGTATGGGATGCCAGCAGGTCGCTACATGAAATTCGAAGAGGGGGGGATGAGAGAGTGAGGGGATGAGGGATGGGAGCACGAGAGAGTGAGGGGAAAAGGGAGTGGGGGGATGAAAGACAAAAAGGGAGGGGAGGATGTAAGACTGAGGGGAGTAGAGGGGGGAGGGTGGGAGACTCAGGGGAGAAGGGGAGGGTGAGGGAGTGAGGGGAGAAGGAAGTGGAGGGTGAGGGAGTGAGGGGAGAAGGAAGGGGAGGGTGAGGGAGGGAGGGGAGAAGGAAGGGGAGGGTGAGGGAGGGAGGGGAGAAGGAAGGGGAGGGTGAGGGAGTGAGGGGAGAAGGTCGCGGAGGTGAGGGAGTGAAGGGAGAGGGGAGGGAAGGGTGCGAGAGCGAGGGGAGGAAGAGAAAGAAGAAGACCGAGGAGGGAGAAGCAAATGGAGGAGCCGTTCAGTTGTACCCCCACCAATCCTTACAGGATGACGGCAAGGGAGGGAGAAGACGACTGAGGAGGGAGAAGCAGATGGAGGAGGGGCTTACAGGATGACGGCAAGGGAAAGGGAGCCTGTGGCGTTGACGTCAGCACTGGAGCCGTTCAGTTGTGCCCCCACCAAGCCTGCACGGAATCAAAGAGAAAGGAAGAGGGGATGGTGACAGGGGACGGTGAGAGGGGATGGTGAGAGGGGACGGTGAGAGGGGACGGTGAGAGGGGATGGTGAGAGGGGACGGTGAGAGGGGATGGTGAGAGGGGACGGTGAGAGGGGATGGTGAGAGGGGACGGTGAGAGGGGATGGTGCGAGGGGACGGTGAGAGGGGATGGTGAGAGGGGACGGTGAGAGGGGACGGTGAGAGGGGACGGGAGAGCGAAGACGAGCACGCGCGTTTGTGACAGTGCCGTTGAAGGTGGGCAAGAGGATAGGGGCGATGGTGAGGGTGGGGGAGGGGATGGTGAGAGGGGCGAGAGAGCGAAGGAGAGAACGTGCGTTTGTGACAGTGCCGTTGAAGGTGGGCAAGAGGATAGGGGCGATGGTGAGGGTGGGGGAGGGGATGGTGAGAGGGGCGAGAGAGCGAAGGAGAGAACGTGCGTTTGTGACAGTGCCGTTGAGAGTGGACAAGAGGAGAGAGTAGGTGAGCGAAAATGGTACTACTTACCAATTAACGTGTCTATTGGCTTGCCTCGGCCTGGCTGGCTATCAGGCAGGCTTGCCTCGGCGACCATCACTCTTATCTGCCCCCTCGCAAATGTGTCTATTGGCCGTTGAGGGTGGCCAAGGGAGAAGGTACTACTTACCAATAAATGTGTCTGTTGGCTGGCTTCCAGGCAGGCTTTCCCCGGCGACCAGCACTCTTATCTGCCCCCTCGCAAATGTGTCTATTGACCGTTGAGGGTGGCCAAGGGAAAAGGTACTCACCAATAAATGTGTCGATTGGCTGGCTTGCCTCGGCCACCAGCACTCTTATCTGTCCCCTCGCAACGCCCTTCTTGTGAGCTGCTGACGCGAACCCCGCGTAATGCGAGCTGTTCGGAGCCAACAGGATATCGTCGATCACACTCTTGACCGATTTCCCGTTCAACGCGCCCCGCGTACTCGCATTAAGCAACGTCCCCTGGATGGTGTAGGAGTAGAAAGGCGGCGGCGCTGTCTTGTTGGAATCTGGAGGAGGAGGCGGCGATACAGTAACATTCTTCCACTTGGCGTTTACCCCGACAATCTCGAGGACCTTGCTTCCCGCCTTTCCCACCAAGCCTTGCCCGATGAAGGCGGAGGTCGGTGCATCCGTTTTGTATGTGGTGACGAGAGAAAAGAAAAAAATGTTGTAGTCTCCGGCGAGCCTGACGGATTCAGTCAGATTCAGTCGGATTCAGTCGGATTCAGTCAGGGTTTGCAGAAGAGAGCGGAATAAGGGAGGAATGATGGGATTAGCATTGGTAAGGGGTATGAAAACACTGCTGAGGGATACAAAGCGTTGCAGAGGGGTATGGAAGGGTTTCTGAAGGATGTGAAAGAATTGACAAGGGAAACGAAAGGATTCCTAAGGGTTGGGTAGATTATCAATATGTTCGCTTTTAGTTTGAAAAAACGAAAAGTGAGTGTAGAATAATATAATACACGCATCAGCAGGGGCCACGAAGTACATCTGCGAGAGGGCTTACTCGTAGACGGCGAGGCAGATTCGGCCGTTGGCCTTGGCGTCGCCCTTCGACCCAACAATTTCCGATCCGTTCTGCGGCGCACCGAGAATCACTGCGCGCGACAGAGGGAGGGGAGCAGCGGAGCGACGCGGGGGAGAGGGGAGAGGAGAGGAGAGAGGAGAGGAGAGGAGAGGTGAGGAGAGGAGAGGGAGTGAAGGAGAGTGAAGGAGCGGAAAGGTGTACTTGAACCGTAGAGAGGGGGGAAGAATTATGGGACCTGGTGTGTTTTGGGAAAACATGCACTGACATTCACTATCTCAAACCACAACCGTAGAGAGGGGGGAAGAAGTAGCGGACCTGGGAGAACATACACTGACGGTCACTATCTCCAAGGCTCGGTCCCCAAGGCTAAAGGCGATTGACGATTGGTCTTCGCTAGGAACGCGAGAGTTATCCGAGTGCTCTCGCCTCATATCTCCGAGTGCTCTCACCTCAAATCTCCGAGTGCTCTCACCTATCAGATTTCCGAGAGCAGCAGCCTCTGCGGGCTTGGGTAAGGGGCACGCGATGCGGAACGGTCTGGATTTCCCGTCCGTTTCGCTCTGACCCGCCGGCGTCGGTTGGCTCGTCAGTTCGGTGAACTGCCCCCTCGCTTCTCCCGCCGCGAAATCCGGCGTCGCGAATTGCCCGTAATATGTATCCACTGCCAGTGTCATCATGATGATCAGGTTCGACACAGTCTTCCCGTTTGTCGCGTTCAGCGTATTCGCTTTAAGCCACGTCCCCTTCAAGTTATAGATGTACGTGGGAGCGACTTTTGGCCTCCTTGGCGGCGGACGAGTGACGTTCGTCCACGTGGCGTTGGCCCCGGCAAGCTCGAGGACGGTGGGTCCCGCCTTCCCCGCCGAGTTTCGCGCGATCACGGCGGACGTCGGCGCGCCCGGTTTGGCAGTGAAGGAAGTGAGGTTGTAGAAGAGGTTGTAGTCGTTACCCAGCCTGACGGATTCAGTCAGGGTTCAGTCAGGGGTCAGTCAGGGTTCGCACAGACATCGCGCAGAAGAAGAGAGAGGAATGATGAGATGAGATCACACCATCATGGCACGGGGAGCGTCGTTTAGGGTTTAGGGAAAAATGTGCTGCGCAAGCCCCGAAACGAGCGGGGAGTATTAGTACCAATAGTATTGAGCAGGGATACTCAGAGTGAGCAGGGATACGAGTAGTGAGCAGGGATACTCAGAGTGAGCAGGGATACTCAGAGTGAGCAGGGATACGAGTAGTGAGCAGGGATACGAGTAGTGAGCAGGGATCGTTAAGAGAAAGCAGCGGTTTGAGACTGGCCGTCTCGAAATTTGGTCGCAGCGGCTCACCTGTAGAGGGCCACGCAGATTTGGCCGGCTGCCTGGGCGTCGCCGGCCGATCCAACCACTTCGGGTCCGGTCAGCCACGTGTCGAGAAACACTGCGCAGAGAGAAAGGGAGAAAAGGAGCGGCGGAGCGACGCGGGGGAGAGGGAGAGAGTGAGGAGAGCGGAAGGAGGTAAAGAGCGGAGAAAATGAGAGGAAAGGTGAAATGAGAGGGTTTTTCGAATTCATAAGAGCCACACCTGCCGGATTCGCCAGAATCCCACCAGTCACAAATTCGCGAAAGCCTCTACACGTTACAACTAGATTCGCGAAAGCCACTCACCAGTCAGATTTCCGAGTGCCGCAACCTCTTTCCCCTCGGGAAATACGCACGGCACGGGGGGCGGCGGACTAGCGGGTAACACCGTAGTGTTTCCTACATCCACCACAATAATCTGCCCCCTCGCTGCGCCCTTCGGAAAACTCGCCGTCTCATATCCCGCGTAGTATGAACTGTTTGGAGCCGACATAATCGCATCAATCACGTTCGCAGCCGTCTGCCCGTTTAACGCGCTCCGGTTACTCGATTTACGCCACGTCCCTTGGATGGTGTAGGTGTAGAGAGACGGCACTGGTTTGTTTGCAACCGGAGGCGGTGAAACACTGGTATTCTTCCACGTGGCATTGACTCCGACAATCTCGAGGGCCTTGGTTCCCGCCTTTCCCGCCAAGCCTGACGCGAAGAAGACGGAGGTCGGCGCACCCAGTTTCAAGGTCTTGACGAAAGAAAAGTAGAAGATGTTGTAGTCGCCGTCTGACCTGACGGATTCAGTCAGTCAGGGTTCGCACAAGCGAGCGGAAGAAGAAGGAATGATCGAGCGAGCATTTCTCAGGGATAAGAGAGCATTGCTGAGTTATCGTGCTCAGAGACACTATGGAAACGTATGAATATCTACACGGAAGCACAGCTGAGGAATATGGAAGCATGGCTGTTGAATAACGCTCAGGGATATGGAAGCATAGTACTAGTAACGTGAGCCAGCTTACTCGTAGACGGCCAGGCAGATTTGGCCGCTGGCCCTCGCGTCGCCCTTCGACCCAACCGTTTGTGATCCGTTAAACGGCGCGCCGAGAATCCCTGCGCGCGACAAGGGGAGAGGACCGGCGGAGCGACGCGGAGGAGAGAGGAGAGTGGAAAGGACGGAAGGAGAGTGAAGGCACGGCGAAGTGTAGTAATTGAACCGTGGAGAGGAGGGAAGAAAAGGAGGCCCTGAGAGAGCATGCATAGAATAATCCAAGACACTCGGAGTGATGGGCAATCGGCAATTGGCGATCAAATCTCCGAGTGGCTTTCGCCAGGACACGAGAGCTCGTACCGATCAAATCCCCGAGGGCCGCAGCCGACTTGGGTAAGTCGCACTCGACCGCCGGGACCGCCGGTTTGGGATTTCCGTCCGTCCCGCCCGTGCCGTCCGTCCCGTCCGGCGTCGGATTGACCACCATCATCTTAAACTGTCCCCTCGCTGCTCCCGCCTGGAACGCCGCCGTTGAAAATCCCGCATAGTAATCGTCTGTTTTCTGAATCATCGAAAGAATAATTCGCGTAACGTCGAGCTCATTTAACGCTGGCATCTTATTCGTGCCAAGCAACGTCCCCTTGGTGCTATAGGTGTATGCCTGAGGGACGCCTGTTCGCGGGGGAATAGTGACGTTCTTCCACGTGGCATTAGCCCCGACAATCTCGAAAATGGTGGTTCCCGCCTTCCCCGCTGAGCCTTGTCCGATGAAGGCGGAGGTCGGCGCGCCCGGCTTGGAGGTGGAGGCAGACAGATTGTAAAAGATGTTGTAGTTGAGAAATTCTTTCGCGAATGAAGTCCCCTCGACCACCCTGGCGGATCCAGTCAGGGTTCGCACAGGCGAGCAGACAAAGAGGGGAATGATGGGGTTAGCAATATTAGAGAAAGGGGAATTGTGTGCAGCAGTCGAGCAGGTAAAATGTACTAAAGCAGGGTTCGTTGCTAGGGGTTTCCTTTTTTCGGGAAACAAAATACAAGCAAGTGGGGTCAAAGTGGCTTATGGGCCGCGGCTGCTCACTTGTAGATGGCAAGGCAGAATCCGAATCGGTCGGGGATGGCGTTGACGTCACCTTTCGACCCAACCACTTCGGATCCGTTCATCTTGGCGCCAAAAACGGCTGCGCGGATATAAGGGGAGAGAAGCAGCGGAACGACGTGGGGGAGAGGACATGAGAAGAGAGATGAGGAGAGCGAAGAAAAGCAAGATCATGCTGTACAACATTCGCACCTCCGCATTGCGGAGTCCATTCAGTAGCCACCTCCTAAGCTGTACATTTTCAATATCATTCATCTCCATTTTGGTAGGCTCGACAGGCATGGGTCGCCGTAGTCGCGAGACTCTCGAAGCCTTTCAGCTGTGCGAGGGGCTGTAAGATTGTGAGAGTCAAACTCTCAATTTCCCGAGATCATGCTAGGTTCACATGCCAGATTCGCCGAAATCCCTCTCGAAGAAAAGATTCGCGAAAGCCTCTACATGTTACTAGGTTCGCGAGAGCATCTCACCTATCAGTTGTCCAAGTCCGAGAGCGTCAGCGTCTGCTCCCCTGGGCACTAAGCACGACACGGGGAGCAGCGAGGCTGAGGCGAGGCTGCGGCGAGGCTGCTGCGAAGTTTTCACGCCCACGTCCGTCTCACCGGTTGCATCCTTCACGAGACGAGCCGCCATCGTGGTTGCTGCGCAGCAAGTGCAAGAAAGTTCAAGATGGAATCAGAAGACATGCGGTTGAAGTGAAGAAAAATGGAGTACTGAAAATGGAATATGGAGCGATTTACGGTTGAAATCGACTGCTGCAGGATAAATGTTATGTCTCACCGAAACATGCTGTGATGGCTAGGAGAAGGATTGATAAGCCAAGGTAACGTTGGGGCTCCATGACGGACTGAATTTCTCAGCTGACAAAGCAATTCGAGAAAATGACGTTTTCCTGGCTGGTTGACGATATACAAATACAAATACAAGACTTGGCTGGATTCTTGATTGATATTGCTCGAATAGCCTCCTCGGATCGCATTTACGCTTGGCGGGGCAACGAAAGTCTGGGCTGTGTGCCCAAGGTGGGGCACATTTGAGCATGTGAGGAGGCTATGAAGCCGTTCAGTACGGTATCGAGCTGTTAAACTACGTTGCATAACGTTTCACTCTGGTTCGTTTACTCGCATAACAATCAATCTCCCAAAAAAATGCGCGCTGCGGTAAACCTGGAGATTGCGCCCTTGGCAAGACATTCAGATGACGCATTTGGCGGGGCACCTGGTGGGGAAGTAGGCCCGGCCTGTGTTGAGGGGTATGGAACAGTTGCGAGGCGAGGTGACGAGGTAAAAGCATTGTGACTTGCCAAATTCCTTCTCGAATGAGTGGGTGAAAGTGAGTAACAAAAACTAGGGTCTCTCAGGATTAATACACCCCAAAAAAACGAAAGAAAAAGTCGGGCAGCCACGTACTAGTCTTCCCGTCATTTCAGATACGGATGTGTCGCCGCATAGCACGGAATGCAAACTCCTGCCACGTATGCTCAACTCAAGTCGTGTCTTGTGCTCTGCACACGCGCCAATCGGTATCTCTACATTGGCCTTGTTGTCCTCAGCGCAGGTGGCGCACCAGCATGAACAGGTCAGGTCAGGAGGAGCGATGCGATAATTGGATACGGTACATGTTGCCTGATACAGTCCAGATGGTCTGTATCGCCGCAGAGCACGGAAACCTATCACATGTGGGTCAAGACCTAAAAACTTAAAACCCGGGTCTCATATTTACAAACGTATTATGTACACCTGGTTGGGCAAGGGTGCCTGTGATTGGGTAACGAGGGGCGAATTTCAGACGAGCATTTCTGGAAACGAAGAAGCGAAACAGCTCCCCGTCGAGGCAAACGCCAAACGACCCCCCCAGGCATGGAACACCTCCACACCAGGAGCACAGATTTGGCAAATTCGCAGTTGCATGCGACCAACCAGAACGACAACATACCATTCGCCCACCTACCCAGCAACATATCAGTCACATGCAGAGCAGAGCACCAACACATTGTACCTAAACGATCGCCGTCCCGTAGACAACAGCATGATAGTACTCGAGATACCCTAGCGTCTCACTCGCCTACGGCATTCCCCCCCCCAATCGGCCGTTTAGGGTTGGTGCACTCATCACATGGCGAGACGCTAACATGGGTCACGTTCTAAGTCGATAGAAACTGTTCTAAATCCCTTGCGACTTACATGCAACCTCCACATCGCCTACCGTTCGACCGATTCGGCCGGCGCCTTCTTCTTGCTTCTTCGCATGCCTTTAGCAATTTGGGTCCGCGCGTCAGCGTCAGATCCGACTTCTCCCATCGGTCAATGCAATAAGATCGCATGGCGATCGCGTGTGCCTGGCCCCGTGGCGCGGCGTGGCGTGCCGCGGGGTGCGCGGCGTGGCGTGGCGCGGGGTGCGCGGCGTGGCGTGGCGCTGGGTGCACGGCGTGGCGTGGCGTGACGAGGCGTGGCGGGGCTTGGCGCGGTCTGGCGTGGCGTGGCGCGGTGCGGCGTGGTGTGGCGTGGTGGTGCGTGAAGGTGCGTGGAGATCCACATCACCGATCAACGACGCCGTGCTCGACCTGGTGAGTCGCACCACCGCTCGCCCCCCGTGCGTCAGCGCCTTGCCCCGGCATAATCGCACTGCGCCACATGCAATGCCACGCCGCTCGTCACCGTGCCCGCTGTGAGTTGCAACATGGTGGCTTCGCCAGCGCACACCTCCTCCTGTGGCCCCGGGGACCTCATGCCATCAATCGAGATGTGCAGTGTGTGGGGCGGCGCAGGTGAACAATGAGCCGAAGGGCGAGCATATATATATAGTGGGGGGGGAGAATGTCCCGGGATATTCATGGAGTTTGGCAGGGGAGTTTCGGGTTTTAGATGCACACCACCTCCCCCTACCACGCGCGCAAGGCCGCTGCGCGGAACATGTACGACACCTGCCTCCACTCTACCTCTTCGCAATCCCCCCCCCCCCCCCCTCTTCAACCGCCCTCCCCCCCACTTTTCTCCCGGCTCCCGCCTCTTCCCCCATCTTTCCCCCTCTCAACACTCGTTTCCCTCTCCCTCTCCCCCAAGCTCTCCACTCTCTTTCTCCACTCGCCCCTCCCCCTTTCTGTCCCCTCCCACCAGGTGAGGGAGATGGTGGGTCGCGAT